CTTCAAGGTTCAGGCGCGGACCATTCTACTACTGACTACTCATCACACGAAGCGATATTAACTCTATAAATGACCATCCATTATTTCTTTGCCATGTCAATGTGGAACTAATGTAAATAGGAAGTCAACAGTTTGTGTACGAGCTACATAATTACGATAAAGTGATACATTTTGCGGGGAGGTAACTCTTGTAAGACAATAGTTCCGCGAATGTGTTGTGAAGTATATACTAAATGGCATTCCTCTTCATCATAACTCATTCAATTAAACACTACCACTATAGGTTATCCCTTCCATACACTCCAGCATCACTAATTCAATTAAACACTACCACTATAGGTTATCCCTTCCATACACTCCAGCATCACTCATTCAATCAAACACTACCCCTATAGGTTATCCCTTCCATACGCTCCAGCATCTCTCATTCAATCAAACACTACCACTATAGGTTATCCCTTCCATACGCTCCAGCATCACTCATTCAATCAAACACTACCACTAAAGGTTATCCCTTCCATACACTCCAGCATCACTCATTCAATCAAACACTACCACTATAGGTTATCCCTTCAATACACCCCAGCATCACTCATTCAATCAAACACTACCACTATAGGTTATCCCTTCATACACTCCAGCATCACTCATTCAATCAAACACTACCACTATAGGTTATCCCTTCCATACACTCGAGCATCACTCATTCAATCAAACACTACCACTATAGGTTATCCCTTCCATACACTCCAGCATCACTCATTCAATCAAACACTACCACTATAGGTTATCCCTTCCATACACTCCAGCATCACTCATTCAATCAAACACTACCACTATAGGTTATCCCTTCCATACACTCCAGCATCACTCATTCAATCAAACACTACCACTATAGGTTATTCCTTCCATACGCTCCAGCATCACTCATTCAATCAAACCCTTCCACTATAGGTTATCCCTTCCATACACTCCAGCATCACTCATTCAATCAAACACTACCACTATAGGTTATCCCTTCCATACACTCCAGCATCTCTCATTCAATCAAACCCTTCCACTATAGGTTATCCCTTCCATACACTCCAGCATCACTCATTCAATCAAACACTACCACTATAGGTTATCCCTTCCATACACTCCAGCATCACTCATTCAATCAAACACTACCACTATAGGTTATCCCTTCCATACACTCCAGCATCACTCATTCAATCAAACACTACCACTATAGGTTATCCCTTCCATACACTCCAGCATCACTCATTCAATCAAACACTACCAGTATATTACATTGCCTATCATTACGTGGTCCAGCGGAAGAGCAGCCGTCCGGAGAGCGGAAGGGATTCGATTCCCGGGCGTGTCATGCCACGAGACGTTAAAAGATTGTTCTTCTTGTTACCCTGTCTGGCGCTCGGCACAATTGGACGCGACACATTCATGCACTTCATTATGTAAGTGCAATAAACTTGGTCGCGACGTTAAAACCCACGCACGCACGCACGCATGCACGCACGCACGCACGCACGCACGCACGCACGCACAAACACACACACACACACACCTTCAAAATGAGACATTTGGGTTTAACGCCGCTTTTAACAGTATTAAAGTTATATCGCGGCGTGTCAACATGTGTTGCGCACCTTGCTTTGATACCTGGGGAGAATCGTCGTCGCAACTACTATGAATCACTCATGCACCTGGCAGGTTCATGTACAACTAGTGCCACAGTGTATATATAATGTAGGTTTATCAGAACGAATGAAACCCAAGAAGTCATATTACAAGACATTATCCTTAGACCCTGTGGTTTAAACGCTTCTCCCAGTATTATCGATATAGATGTCTCTCCATTATTGCAATCACTGCAATAATACATTTCTGACACGGTTAAATGGTTATTTAATTGAATGCTCTGGTCGCAATCAGATCAGGCTAAATTTAAGAAGTGCAGTTCACTCTAGATACACTTTTGATCCCATGTTGTTTAACATGTTTTTCATTTCTTGCGAAAAAATTAACTTGGGTCCAAGACTTGCTCATTTTCAGATAATACAATAAAATGATTCCATACAGCCACAACAGTCAACATATTTGGTGTCGTTATACAGATCCTTAAGATACCTTGTCCTTTAAATTATATTTTAATCAAACGAAGCGTGGCAGTATGTTTTGGATAAACTATACTTAGTGCCAGCTGTAGATATGGTGGTGTGTCTCAAATTAACAAAATAAGATTTTATATACAAATTCAAAACAGTGTTTTAGGCACATATGTATGGTTTCGTCACAACCCCAAGACAGAACAACTACAAAATCTTTATTCCGAATAAAAAGGCCACGTGGCCCAGATTGCAGCAGATATGACGTGTGGTGTAATGAAATTACAATTACCTGAGATTCGATGTATTATAAACACAATAAAGTACAGAAAACGAAGATGTATTCTAATACTAATGATATTCACATTAAAACATGGACATGTTTTGATTTAATCAAATCTTGAAATTTTGAAATTAAAGGAAAAGGGAAATAATATGGTGGGACAAGTGTTCTCTTTACACTCCCTATATAACGAGCCTTTTAATATTATTTGTAATAATAATAATGATAAAGACATGTTAGCCACAATTTTCACAAGTAACTGGTCAGGTGGAATGGTGGCTTTACAATAAGGTTGTTTTTAAACTCTGAGACTGCCACGTTAAGCTGACATTCTAATCAGATCGTTCAGTTACAACTTTCACACAGTTCCGGTTCTAATAATGTCCTCAGTGATCAGTAATTTGACAGAATCATTGAATCACATATTGCCTGGGCCCATTTCTGCATACGCAAGCCTTTTAAAAACATCAACGCTAAAGAATAATAAAGCGAAATAGTGGATCACTGAATATATATTTTTAAGCCTGTATGATCAATATTTAATATTCAATATTCAATATAATCTCTGGGTTATGCATGCATATAAAAATCGTGTAGTAAGAAGCAACAACATAAAATGTGAATCAGTTGTTATATCGACTATCAATGTGGATATTAATATAGCCATTTGGATATTCTGTATTGTTTCATTCGAATGTTGCTTCCCAAAAGATTATACATCAGTTACATATTATTCATCTTGAAAAATACGTTACACAATAATTAGACAACCGATCCCTGTCATTAGCACAATGTCGTAGAAGGTCCATAATTAAAATAAACATATACCTGCAACAGAACAGTGGAGTGATCATCTATTTTACAGGGTGCTAGATTTTGGAATCCAAGGATTCCAAGATTGAATCGACAAATACACTCTCTCAAAACAGAAACGCAACCCCAATATTTTCAAGATGTTTATCTCAATATTCAAGTTATTATAACACATTTATTATTGAAGACAACAATATGAAATTTGGCATGGTGGCAGTACAGTTATGCAAGTTTAAATCCAGACTTCGACAGTTCTCTCACTAAGATTGACTTGACGCAAGGGGGCGTCTTTCTCAGTACCTCGTAGGAGCGCCACGAGCTGCGATCACAGCATTACACCTCCTTGGAACAGAACGAATTAGACGCCGGATTCTTTCCTGAGGGATTGCTCTCCACTCCTCCTGCAGTGCAACGGCTAGTGCATCCAACGTCTGCGGCGGCGGTGTACGTACACGTACTCGTCGGTCCAGATAATCCCAAAGATGTTCGATTGGGTTGATGTCTGGTGATCGGGAGGGCCATGGTAACACGTTGACGTTAGAATTCTGGAGAAAATTCACTGTTGCATGAGCAGTGTGCGGCCGGGCGTTGTCATGTTGATAGAGTTCCCTCTGTTGGTCGATAATCGGCAGAAGATGAGGCTGTAAGACGTCATTGATATAGCGCTGGGCTGTCAAATTACCACGAATGATCACCAAGTCTGATCTTTTGTTGTAAGACATGGCTCCCCACACCATGACGCTCCCTCCTCCAACTCTGTCTTCCGTCACAGCGTTGTAAAAGAAAACGTGATTCGTCACTAAACCAGACGCGCCTCCAGTTTCTGAGGGTCCATATCCGAACGTCGGTGCACCACCTGAGTCGTAGGCGTCGATGTTCGTGGCGTAAAACAGGTCCAATAAGTGGTCTTCTTGCACGTAGACCGGCCTCTCGTAGACGGTTTCTAATTGTTTGTGCAGACACTCTTCACAAACCTGGCACCTGTGTTGCAGTGACGGTAGGTGTGGCTAGCCGATTTCGTAGGTGGGTGACCCGGATGTATCGATCCTGAGGTTGTGTGGTAACCCTTGTCCTACCACTTCTGGGGCGATCTTCAGTTGCATGAAACTCGGTGTATCGGCTCCAAAGTCGGGAAATTGTTGTTTGATGAACATTGAGGTGCCGGGCAAAGTTTCCAAAGCTTTGTCCGGCCTCAATACGACCAATGGCGATATTTCGATCTGCAGCACTCAACCGTGGCATATTCGACCTTGTCTCTCGGTGAAAATGATAGTGTGAATCGCTAATCAACACGTGCTTTTATAAACCCATACTTCTACTGCTCTTTCCATGAATTGCACGTGCATGAGGCTTTTGCCATGGGCCACGTGAAGATTTTGCTCACTATGATAAAAGTAACAATAAAATGCCCTATTGAACGAAAATTGGTGTGTTTGGGCGCTTACGTTAATAAACAGTGTACACGGTATAAGTGCATATCAGAAAAGTTGTATTTACAATCAATATTTTTCTTCTTGGGGTTTTCTCACATTTTCAGACTGGGGTTGCGTTTCGTTTTTGAGAGAGTTGAAAATGGGGATCTGATTGTCTTCTTGGCCAAGACTCATTTTTAAGCAGACTGGTTTCATGTAGCTGCACTATTGCTAACCGCAACACAAAACGCACATTAAAATGCCTAGAATATGTATATATGTTACGGGAAACAAGTATAATCAGTGATTAAGTCTAATGACTGAAAATTTCAGTGATTATGTCTAATAACTGATTCACTCGGTGTTTATGTCTAATTACTGAAATCTTCAGTAATTAGACATAATCACTGAAATGAACCAAGGGATTTTATACTTGTTTACTGAAAGCATATTCCTGCCTTGTTTTTATAATGTGTGCTAGTTTTGAAATTAGATTAGCTATCAAAGTAAATACAACCTCCTGTAACCAGATACCTTACACAAAAATCACAGAAATAAGCTTAAACAGTTCAATCTTTTATTTCATAAAATGGTATGACGTGAATGGTATGACATGAATGGTATGACAAATAGCAGTCAGAATGACACTCAGGAATGTTTGTTTGCACATGAAAGACTTGAATGACATCTAGAATTACATTGCATCTTGGCCTTAAAACATTTGCAGCGATTGGTCTGACACCGTTTAGTTCCAACACAATTACACCTTACAAAGCCTTGACCACCACAGACTGAGTCAAGTTGAACCGCTTGACGCAAAGAGAGTGTTCGATCGGTATTGAAATCGTCAGCATTATACAGTTTCGTGACTCATACATCAAACTGGTTACGGGAATATTTCCCATTTAGCACACCACCCTTGACTGCAATTGTGAACATGTCATTGTCACTACACTCAATAACTACACCAATTATGTTACGTGGATCACCTCTTCCTCTGTCGACATGGGGGATAGGAACAGTTACATTGTCTCCAACACTTACAGGCCCAAAAACACGTTTGCTGCGTTTCACCATGCGCTGGGCTTGTTCTTCTTGTGCTTCTCTGGCTCTTTTTCTGTTCTGCATGATGCTGTTAAGTTGTGCTGCTACTTGATCTTCCTGGGAGACGGGCGGTGTTTGAGTAGATACTTCTGACGCGTCACTGGATGATGGAGTGGGCTCTTCTAATGACTTGTCAGCATTTGAAACAGGAGATTCAATGGCCGAAAGTAGATCATCTTCTGACTGCAGTCGCTGAAGAACTTCATGTTGGAGGGTCGAAGATGCAAGGCCAGTCCGAGGATCAGATCCGAAGAGAGCTGCAAATGGTGAGGTTTTATACTAAGAACAGCAATACCATCATTGAAAATTATTTGTTATTCATATGTAAAACAGGTTCGTGTTCATGTCTGGAGGGGATCAATGCCAGTAACAATCTGAGTATATAGTCTCGATTCAAAACTGAGTTCATAATCATGTGGCACGCTTAGGAAAGATCCTCCACGCGGCTCAAGGCTCACCTTAGCTCCAGGTGGGAGGGACACTTTGAAATGCCTCATGATTCCAGCCAGCAGAAGATGCAGTTCCGGCTTGGCCACGCACTCTCCGAGACACACTCTCCTTCCACCGGAGAATGGAGTGAGTGAGTGAGTTGGGTTTAACGCCGCTTTTAACAGTATTCCAGTTATATCACGGCGTTAAAGACGTTAAAAGATGGTAATTGTTGTTACCCTGTCTGGCGCTCGGCATTAAGGGGCTAAAACAAGGACTGGTCGGCTCGGAGTCAGTATACTGTGTCTGAGTGGGGTATTAAGGTTAAACTGCGGCATGGTATCTCAGTGAGTTAGCACTAAAAATCGGCATCAGTCCGGACTAGTACAAGCAGCCACACAAACACACAAACACATGCACGTCGCAAAATAAGTGCAATAATCTTGGACGCGACGCTAAACCCCATTTCACCTCACCACCAGTACCAAGTTGTCCGACTCCCCATTGTTCTTGGTGCCTTAGGTTTGGTACCATCCCATCTGTTGACTGACATTGGGAGAGTACCTGGGTTTGTTGCCAGGAATACAGCCCTTCTGACAATCTGGGTAATGCAGAAGGCTGCAGTGTTGGGGAGTCTTCACATTCCTCGAAAAGTTCTGGGTGGGTTTGACAAGGCAGCGCTTCCTGGGAGAAGTCCCATTCGCTGTCTGGGCTGGGTGTAGAGGGGGCTAGGGCCCTGAGCTAATGATGAGCCTAACCAGCCTGACTGTGCCAGTATTCTGTGTCTGAGTGGGGTGTTCATTTTAAACTGCGACATGGTATCTCAGTGAGCAAGCACATTAAATTGGCATCAGTCCGGACCAGTACAAGCAGCCACACGCACATACACACGTGCATGCACGTCGCTATATAAGTGCAATAACATTGGACGCGACGTTTCAGCTCACCTTAATTTCTAACGTGCAGCGACATTCCACACAGCGGGTTTACAATACATTGACGACATCGTTTCATTAACATTTGAATTGTCTTTTGTTTTCTATGTATTACGAGGTATATTTGACAATTTGATTTTTTAATCAATGAATCACGGATTCGTCGCCATAATTTGGCTGACTTAAAATATGTTGTAAAAGGACTCCCGATGCATGACGGTGTAGCAGTGAACACAAGATCATACTATCAGACATCCTTATAAGAGATCCCGTCTCCAACAGAACACTGCTAAGAGTTTGACAGTGGGAGGGAGTTGACGGGTGGGGATAGTGGTGGGTGGGTGTAATTTATCATTATAAAAAAAAAATACATTTCGTGTGGATCAGTAGTCGAAATGGTATTTTCAGATCGTTTGCAGCACCGGCTGGTATAGAAACCTATTGATCTGTCCTGGTTATTCCATGCTGTCCTCCTCTCTGAGGATCGCTTAAATGCCCAAAATGTTAAAATGTTGTAAATGATATGTAGGACACAGCCCCATTTGTGAGTGTTCATGTTTATCATTCGGAGGAAACTTGATAATAAAGAAGGTAGATTGACTAAGAATTTCTTTGTACATATTGTTATACTTTTATTACTGTTACAGTTATGTGTGAACATCTGATATTATTCTAATATTAGGCATATAGGTGATAACATTTTCCTTCTTTCTGCTATCTTATAAGTTGCTTGACTGATATTGCTAAATGCTGAAAAATACCCACAGTGATTCAATTATTTCAAAGGATTTCTTCTGATCAAAATGTCCTTCTATCACGTCGAACGCATGCATTTCTGGAGAATGAAATTAGTTATTGGCAAAAGTTTATAAGATGTAAATATCGCTCTATGCACAAATTTTATTCACTCACAATCATCTTCTATGTGTGTTGCTGAATTGTCCAAATGGTATTGCTTCAAAGTAGTTTGAAGATGACCTGGACAGTTTGTAATGCCCATGATCAAAACAACAGCCAATTTGTATTACTGTAACACTGACTACAAATGATGTGAGGGGAAAGGGCATGTAGTTTAATGACAGGCGCGATGATTGGTTGAAGGTCATGGCACGAAACATTCACATTCACTTCATAAAAAACAAACTGTTTCCGTTTACTTTTGAGTACATCACAGATTGTATTCCAATGTTCTAACAAGTATAGACAAACGTGTCTTTAAAATCGAAAGTCGTATTTATCGAGCTATGTGTGGCGGAATCTGGCGTTTACAGTGAGTTATCAATATACCTCCTTCATTGCTCCCCGCGCCATTACGTAGGAAGCGGAAAATACGGAGTGGGCCTGAGTGCTATCACATTGACTATTAATTCATGCTGGAGTCTTCATTCATAGACACAGCTGTGTCATTAGTCTTGGCGGAGTTGTTTCCCATCAACAAGCAAAGAATAAACACGACAAAACATATTTTTCTCAACTTACAGAAACTGTTGTATAATAACAGCAATTTGTTTGGATACTTATTGCCTACAAAATAGATTTGGTGACACTTTTTAGTTATTTTTTAAATCTCACTTTGTTCAGTGAAGCCGTGTGTGGCAACACTCCTTAACAGTAGCAGCAAAATCTTAGAAAGTCTGCGAATTGACACATGATGTGAATATCTCTTTTGTGTTACATAGCTCACTTAAGTGCTTTTATAGCCAACTTTCTGTGTAGTTTCCAAGTTGGGCTGTAGTCTCCAAACGCGATATTCCGACCTCCGTCGCTGAGCAGTAGTACTGGGCAAGAACATGATATGCATGTAAGTGTGCGGACAATAATTCTGAAACATAATACGAGTATATGTATGAAAGATATACTAGATATACATTTATGTAGTTTAATTGAACCATCCGGGTTAGAATAGGTCTTCAGCCAACCATGCTTGACATAAGAGGCGGCTGTGCTTGTGAGAGGCGACAAACGCGACGGGATCGGGTGGTGAGGCTCGCTAACTTGCTTGATACAATGTCATGTCATCCTAAACCAATTGCGTAGATCGATTTTCATGTCAATCGCTGGATTGTCTGGTCCAGACTCGATTGTTTACATGCTGGAATATTGCTGAGTACGGCGTTAATAACAAACAAACACACACACTTCAACTGACGGCACGCATCCTGCTATCGTACAGGAACTGGTCATTCAACTAAAGGCATTGGGCTTTCTCTATATCGCTTTTTATTGTGGTAGAACACCTATGTATCACGATACTCGACAAAACTGCTACGTTTTGATAAAAGCAGTCAGGTTTTATAAATGACTCTTTTTGCATGAAATGTTCAATCAGCACCAGTGGATGTACAGACTGTATGTCATGAAGCCAAAACGGTGATCACTACAAGATGTACAGATCTTTAAAACAATTTATAGGACGATCATATTTTATAGGCATAATGAAGCATGGTGTGTGTGATGTGGTTGAGCAAAAAATAGTAAATCAACGTGAATACTCTCGCCAAATGTGAAGATCTCTAAAACAATGTGTAAAACGATAATGTTATTCTGGCAGAATGTAGCACATCGTGTGTGATACCGTGAGTATGAAATAATGATACAACAGTGAGTGCTGTCCGTATTTACATGTATAAGTCTGGGGCCGCCCTGCAAAGTCCGCCTGTCGTTTAACCAGTGCCTCCATCACAACGTCTATGTTGTTCAAGGCCACCATTGTCATTGGTCCTGTAACGAGAAAACTTTATCATTATATTTTATAACCTACTGATAAAATCAAATTACGCCTTTTATTTAAGTGATACGCGTATATTTACACTCGATACATTAAACCCGTGTCATGTAATATGCTGGGACACGAGCCGATGATTTTTTTTAACATATGCCGTGTTTTAGATTCCAAACTGATAAGTATCAGAGACATGTAACTGTTTACATACCCATATAAAACTTACAACGGGACCAAACTAAGTCTTCCCCTCGGCCATCTTCTCGTGGTCACTCACTTTCCGGCACTCAGTAATTATAATAACGGCATGCAATGTATAAAAGTGATAAAAGTAGGGATAAAACTAGGAATAAAAATAAAAAACCAACTATGTCCTTAATGGTTGTTAACAACATGTATTATTAAACGTTACAAACCATTTTACACCCACGTGCTGCCCCTGCATAAGTAGTAAAAGTTGGTCATCATTACCTAGCAGGTTCTCAGGTAAAGGTCATCCTCGGGGTCCAAGGAGTAGCTTGTAACTCTTCTTGGAGATCAGATAAACGGCTACTCAGACGTCTGACTCTACTAGAACAGCCCGGCCGGGGAGGCTAGAATTCAACCATTCCTCCCACCCTTTGATCGAGTCCTGGTAGCAGCTCCAGGTAGGACAGCCTCTGTAGCCACTCTGTAGCCCAGCATCATGTACCTACAGGGCAAGTCCACATTTGGGCATTGAAGTCTGTAGTATACTAGCTACTTGGGTGAACAACTACGTAACCCACCACCCCGTGTAGCTACCATTTAAAGTCTCACTAACACCACCACATGATGTGTTTACTATCTTTTAATCTTCACTCAGCTCCTTGACGTCCCACCCCGCCTCATTAACCACCACCACATACCTGATTACAATAGTTGTGTACCACCCACAAACAAATTGGTATATACATAGCTAAGTTCAGATGTGGATCACTCCCTTTATCTATAGACTGGTCAGTACCCCAATCTTCCCATTCCTCTGCTAGATAGAATATGTAAATATTGTGGTTATAATACTACTACTTTAGTAATAGAAGATGAAATGCATTTCCTTATTGCTTGTAATCAGTATGATGACATAAGATTTGATTTATTCAGTGATGCCACTTTCATAAATCTCTGTTTTGTAAATGACCTTCACCTTAACAAATCTACTGTTCCATGTATGTGGAACCTGGGTCAATGTGAATGATCTGTACTACCTTTGATCAACCGATTACATCTAAAACACTTTTCGGTTTGTCATTTTGCAGAGTATAATTATGATATACTGCGGTAAATAAACACCAGAGATGACCGACAAAACTGGTGATAATCGAACGATCACTTATAGATGCTATGTGTTGTAAATACTCCCAATGTGCATTATGTACCTGCGTACTGTAACTACATTCTGAAAACCTCGATGAAAACTTAGTGACCTCATGACTGCCGATAATTAACATTGACTATGCAAATCGGAGCGGTTGTTTTGGAAACTGGACATACACTCATGCCGAGACAACAAACCACATACAGAAGGATTAGTACTATCATATGCGAGAGCACAATCTTCATCCACGAGAGAGAATCCACCTACCTAACCGGACATTAAACCATGGCTCCTGTGTCTTTGACCGTGGTCTAACAAACGGAATTGTTATTAAAACACCACTTAGCAATGTAGGAACTTCCTTTTTATCTTGATGATAGAACAATTTCATGAAAAACGTTTGTCGCCAACGGGATTCAAACCCGCGATGTCCGCACTGAATGTCCACGAATGTAGTCTTCTGCCACGGCGACATTGGACAAATGGTATGAAATTAACAACTAAATATTTATTTACATCAATACTAATTGCTTATCCGTTTATGAACTGCGAAGTGTGTTTTATGAAATTTTTATACAGTGTGTTACTCTATGAATTCTAGTATTTGTTCAGTACTTGTGATTTTGTAGCTTTTCGGTCAACGAAACGAACAGATCGAAACGAAATTAATATTATCTTGACCAGGGCTATATTTGCTCATAATAGACCCATCAACATGGGCAAGTAATATTTAGGTGATTGATAAATGTGCTCGAGTTGGTCCAAAATGAATGGTATACTTGCCCCGGGACATGCATTTCATAACCCGAATTGGCAAAGTGCGAGTTGCATTTCAACGATTAGACACTGGGTCCTCGTGATCTAACCTATACTGATTTCACCTCACAAATTTACTCACGTGACTGCTATTCACACAATGACAGATATAGGTCATACTTATTGACTGTGGCGTAATCTCCATTTGAAGTATTGCGCATGACTTTATGTTATACGTTCCTTTATTATTACAACTTTGATTGGAATAAAGTTACTAAAATTACTCCGTCTGTATAAGGACAGTACCGATATCAGAGAGTAACGAGTATCGATGTATAAGGGTATTGAAGGCTTCATGTCTCAGGAAAGCATTGGGCATAGCTCTATGGATTGTAAGTTAGCCACATTTAAAAATTGTGATGTCGGTTTTAACGTCGACGTACCTGGAACAAGCACTGTCATGCTGATCAACATTTACAGCCTCGCTATGTGAACTCAGCAGAAATCTGCCACTGTTCTCAGCACTGCCTGGAGATGGATGCTCTGTGGGGCTGGGACGGGTAACTCGTGTACCCGGGTCGGGTTGGTACTGAGTATGACCCGGGTACCCACAGGACTACCCGGGCCCGTGGTTAGTCACGTGCTATATTGTCTAATGATCAAACAAACCTATCTGGAACTATAATGGTGACATTACAAGTCATTAATGTTCATTTTTCTTTCTGACTATGCACTATGTTGAATAAAGATATGACTGAAGTCAACTTCAGTGTATGCGTGACCGTATTGTTTGATATATGTATGCTAAAAGAGTTCCCAATCGGACATTTTGAGACATCTGCTGGGACCTAGAGTTGGTACCCAGGTAGGGTAGGGTAGGGTAATAGGGGGGGGGGGGGGGGGGCGGGTACCCGGGTAGTAAATTTGTCCTCGTCCCAGCCGTAATGCTCTGGTGTTTCTGAAGCACAAGCTAGCTCTGTCCCACGGGTCATGCACCCCGACCAACAAATTCTTTGTTTAATTGCAGACAATAATAAACGTGTTAACAATCAGGTACATACCAGCACCATCTTGGATTTAATTATCCGAGAGTAATAGATATAATGGCAGAAGCATTATTTGGGTTAACCTTATCTTGAGCGTGTGTTCTGGTGAGGTGACCGACCGTGTGCTGTCTGCCCTGGCCTTTGGGAGCGGGTATGAACAAACACAGTCATTGAGGGTCTACGTGGATGATCTACAGAGGGTGTCAATTGGTGTCCCTCGTAGAAATATATTGCACGTTTTATGATGATATCTGTACATGTGCCATGAATATGATTATCATTTGTTCAAATTCGAGAGGTAAATGAAATTTGTGAACCGTTTAGTTCTCCGTATTGTAAATCTTGAAAGTAATGCGAGAGCGAAATTAAGGCTTGAAATTAATGCGAGAGCAAAATTAAGGCTGTTAAGAGTTGTCTTTGCTCACAACAATCAACCTTCGCATTTACGTCTTAAAACTGACTGTTCACAGGCGAGCTTCTTGTCTGGGGGATGCAGTATTCTGGAGTAAACACATTTACAAATATTATGCACAGTTAAACAAAATTACATCGTATCACTTCATGTGGAAAAAGGGGTGAAAGCAAACTTGGTCACTAACGATGTAAAATTCGCGATAAAACATCACAATATGTGAAATAAATTGCATTTACTGTTCTATATACACAGATTAAGATTACGTGTGTATTTTCTAGTAAACCGAGCCGCCGGAATTAGCAATCGCATGTGCATACATTTTCTCCCAGATCGACCTGTGATTCAGTTGAAAATACCCAATGCTATAACTTAACATAATTTTGATGCAATGACAAGAAGAAATTATATCTGAAACTATTATATTACTTGGAATAATATATTCCAATATCGTGCTTTTAGTTTCAGCTTTTTACTCTACATATTTGACAATATAATAACCATACAGGTAGCACTTCGATACAGCTGATTCCCGTTGTAGGATATTTGCTACGTATGGAACAGTTTGACCAGTCACCATTGAGGCTTCCCGCGGTCTTGCCATTTCGATTAACACTAAATAATAGTAATCTACAATACAGTGAAGTGAGGTAAAATGGACTTTAACATCGCGTTTAAGATTATTGCCTTTCTATATGCACACGTCTGTTCCTGTTAGTACCAGTAGGACTAGCTAGCCCACTGAGATACCATGACCTAACAAGGACTGGTCGACTCTGAGTCTGGTATCCATGTTTACTGCAGCATGGTATCTCAGTGGGCTAGCTGACACTATGAAACATACGCCCGGACTAACACGATCAGATTCAACTGGTCAACTGACAAATGGGGTATAACCAATAGTATTGCTCTATAGCGACGTGCATCCTTGTTGTGTCCCATAATACCGAACGCCATGTCCGGGAACAAGAAGTACCATTTGCAACATCTTTTGGCACGACGCAGCCAGTGAATCAAACCGCCGACCTCTCTTCGGGCAGGCACTCTATCTTTCTCAATCTAAAAATATGAATAGCACATTATCATGAATATCTCGGCCTTTGGTCACGTGGAAATTTAGATTTAATGATACAGCAAAGAAATTTGCTATGTCGGCCAGTAGGGATCTTGGGGTTATTATTAGAAGATTCAAAGCAGTTGGGAGTGTCAATTATGCTGTTTTTAACACTCTTTATAATAATTTGGTTCAACCTATTTTTATCATATGGTTCGGAAGTTTTGGGTAAAAAAGAATTTAGCTATGTTAATGGTAATAAAACTCCAAATTTGGCAGTAAGAGGTAAACTGGACTGGTTTTGAAAGCGTTTTCTATGCATAAAGATTGAGAGTGACAAAACACTCTCCACAAGAGTGTATGATAAGAGGAATAACTTCAACTTTCCTATAGTCACCATTCCCTTCATGTCGAGCAGTACTCCTGCAGCTCCAGCCTTTGGTGTTTACATTTCGCAACTTTTGTGATACAATCGAGCATTTCTACCAAGCTTTCAAAGAGCGTCATACGACTCCTTTATCAAATCGTATATGTAGAAACTATAAGGCTCACAGTATTGAACACGAAGTACATTTTCTGATAACTTGTAATCGTAAATCGGATTTTGGATTATATCTTTTGAAACGGGTCTCGTTTCTGTGTACACAAAATGCATGTCTCGAATTCATTTCGAATATTTGGTTGGAATATAAGAAAAACAAGAAAACACTCGAAACATCATACAACAAATCGATGAAAAAATAGGGATGTTAGTGAAAGATTACGATGTAGAGATCATCCAATGGAATTGAAACCCCTTATCCTGCGCTGAAGCAAACCCAAGACCTCTACTTGTTAAATTTATGAGCTTCAAAAAAAAAGAAAAATGTTGATGAACAGTAGATCTACAGGTGAGATCCGGGAGGCAGGGTTCCCTCGAACATCTTTAGAAACGACTATCTCACCAAGGCAAGGGATAAATTAGCAGCAAAATGCGGGAAACTATAATACAAATCAATGACACATAGGAGACAGGAGGAGTGATCTTATATAGTCTCCCCTGGACATTCGTATCGATAATTTGAAAAGATTACCAGAACAAATTATTACGGATCCAACCCAGAGAACGGGTACATGTCTACATGTATTGACCATACATTTGCTTCATGTCCAGATTTCGTCAAAGAGTAAGGAGTTAGACCGCCTTTTTGCAGTGATCATTCGATATTTTATTACCCACATAGTTACAATGTGTGAAGCCCATTTCTGTGATATTGCTGGAATATTGCCAAAAGCGGCGTCAAATCATACTCATTAACTCACTTACTCATTCAGTATTGTTAATCTCAAATATCATTAGATATCGTTCATGAGAACTATCTATGATCTGTGATTACAAAACAACTGACAATGATCTAAATTGGGATTTTCTGTTTATTCAAATGTTATCACCATGATATTATAGATACAATTAAAACAACCTGTAAATGTTGTATTCCAAGCTAGAAGCAACTGATGCCCCCTGGATGAACGGACATATTCGAAAATAGATGAGGAAGCGAAATAGGATCCAAAAGAGGGCAAAACATACAGCTTTACCCGCTCATTTTAGAAATATGTGTCATTGATATGTGTCTGAAATGCGAAAATGTAAAGTTGAATTTATTTCTGAAATTAATGATATTATAACATTGTGTCTTTTCCTCCCAGATGCTGCAATTTCAATAGGTAAAACCGGTAAAACATTTCCATATTCATAAAAAAAGCAATGCTACTAACAGAGCTGACAGTACAATTCCGACTATATCTTGAGCATGTGTTCATGAATCATTATCAGAAAGTGATAATATCAGGTGTTCACGAAAAGGTGAGCGTATCCTGCGACATCGGTGGTACCCGTCACAAACACATGCAAAAGGCGAGTCAATTGTTCACCTGAAAAAACACAGGAACATATTGTACGAGTCAAAATGTGGAAATGCATCCCACATAAATGTCTTCCACATGTCTGCCATAAAATCTTTTAAAAAGCTTCACAGAGGTCTTGAGGGGGCACGGGTGGCCCAGTCGTCTAAGGCGCCGCGATTCGCTGTGCAGAGTTGCGTCCCTTGGGCACGCCAGAAACCTATGATTGTTGGTTCGAATCCCGGTTCGCCCCGATTATGTTTCTAGGTTTGTCAGCACCATACCCGTGCTCGTGGGTTTCACCGAAGTGGTAAACGTCTGAGACCTGCATCACTTCGTGCTTTCCTCCCACATTAAGCTGACACGCCGCGATATAACTGGAATACTGTTAAAAGCGGCGTTAAACCCAACTCACCCACTCACTCACTCACAGAGGTCTTGAACGTTACACCCTTGATCAAACATTTTCTGAGCAAGAGCTTGAAAAGGGCCTTGTTTCTAGATCATATGATATGCTTTTCAGTATCAAGCTTTTCTTATAATATGTTTGAAAAGATAATTATGCTTCAGATTGTTCAGACTGATAAAAAGAAAGAAATTCCAAAAAATACATTGCTGCTAGATGTGGAAATGCATATGAAAATCGCGTAGCAAGGAGCAATAATCTTACTTGTTAAAAAGACCCGTGAAGGTCCGGGGAAGAATAAGTCTTCAGCAAACCATGCTTGCCGTAAAAGGAAATGATGCTTGTCTTAAAAGGCGACTAACGGGATCGGGTGGCCATGATCGCTGACTCGGTTGATGCATGTCATCGTATCCAAATTACGTGGATTGATGTTGATGATGTCAATCACTGGATTGTCAGGTCCAGACTCGATTATTTACAAACAACCGTCATATACCTGGAATATCGCTGAGTGAAACAACAAACAAACAAAACATGTAAAAAGGGTTGTTATTTCGATTATCATCATGGACCTTTAAACATGTTATTAAAGGATTTCTATAATTAAAATAACATATCTGCAAATAAACAGTTAAATATAATCGGAAGATTTTTTATGGATAACAACGTATTATATTCTTTGTAACGACGTTTCAGGGCTACTTCTTCATCTTTTACATCTTATTAAAGTTTTTTCAGATGTCTATTTCGTTTCATTCAAATGGTCCCATCCATATGAATTTGCATCAATTATATGCCATACATCTTGAACAATACGTTACATAAATGTTAGGCAGCTGATCCCTGTGGTGAGTAGAAGTGAGAAGAATAATTTAAAATAAGCATATATCTGCACTAAAGCAGTAGAGTGATCATCTATTTTAGAAATGTTTTTTTTATTGTCTATCTGGCCAGAATCCTTATTAAGCAGGCTGCATTAACTCATTTATTTTAGCGAGGGAGACTTAACACTGATGGTGCGGCAACATCCAATGGATGTTTGCCTGGAATATATATGTATACTTAGAAAAGCAATATCCTTATAGAAAACTATTTGTTTGTGATATTACAGTAGGTTCGTGGCCATGCGCTAACATATCACTCCCCATGGTCATATGAGTTACAGTCTCGATTCAAAATTGAGTTCATAATGTTGTGGTACGTTGGCGACAGATCCTCCACGTGGCTTAAGGTTCACCTTAGCTCCAGGTGGGAGGGAAACTTTGAAATGCCTCATGATTCCAGCCAGCAGAAGATGCAGTTCCGGCTTGGCCACGCTCTCTCCGAGACACACTCTCCTTCCAGCGGAGAACGGAAGCCAGCTCTCTGGTTTGGCAGCCATCTTGCCATCATGGTCAAGGAACCGGTCTGGATTGTATACTTGCGGGTCCCGCCACTGTTCTGGGTCCCTATGCAATGCGTAGTGGTTGATGAAGACGGTAGTTCCTTTGGGAATGTCATAGCCACCTGAAAATGTAATGATTGAAATACGTACATGTGCATTGATAACAGACCATCACGTTAGTAATTTATAGCTTGGTCTTTCCTTAATCTCACTAGAAACCTATTCATAAATAAAACAATTACGAAAGGATAATAATAATAATAATTACACACCCAATGAAACCATGATTCATGGACTAAAATTCAAATTGTAAAAGTTGATGCCAGGTCGCGTATGGCTTACGGTAACAGAGCATTGGAGCTTGTATTTTATACTTGCATTGTAAATTTGGCGCGTAATTTAAGTTAATAAGTGCGACCAGCGCAATAAAATAAATATTAATAATACTTCAATTGAAAAGTTTGAAAGTTACCTAGAATCAAAATACCTACTCAGTGGACATCCGTTTCAGGTGACTTACCGACTTTCGTGTCACACAGTGTTTTGTGGGGAAGTCCGCTTGGCACCACAGTATGAAACCTCATACTCTCGTGAAGCACAGCGTCAGTGTAAGGGAGACTACTCCTGTCTGATACACTGGGGAAATGACGCGCACCTGCATTCATAAATATATATGTCATTTAATGAGAATAATCTAAAGATCCTCTCAAATCCGGTATCATAATACAAGTAAATAAACTCGGTTCGCCTGGGTGGGACCGTTACTCGTGTTTTTAACATCACTATTTCATCACAATACCGCATCATCATCACTGTATCACCACATCAGCGAAACTAATATCATCGTATCAGCATATATTAGTATATCATTTCTTCATCATAGCGTATCATCATATCATGTTATTAAATAATTGTATAATATTATCGTATCCATAACATCATCATATCATTATATCATCGTTTCATCATTTCAGCGGATCATTATATCCCTGTGTTGTTGAAGTCAAAACCACAAATTATAAACTCATTGGCTAGACCCTTAAGCCCCACAGGTAACTATAAAACTAATACCTAACACCCAAAAACGTCATTAGGGGTTACCAAGGGCACAGGTAAGTCGGTGACTGATCTTGAACCACGCTGAAAACGTGACCAACGTGATGAGACAGGGATACCTTCTCAGATGCCCCAATGACTATGTCGACAATGAAATTTCGACGTCCAACTGCATAGTGTTAGCAGCACAGCATGGATTTTTCTATTTAGTCTATACTCTACCTATACCTCAACAATAGAATTGGCTGCTGTCATCTTCAACTTTATCATCACATCAGCTTATCATATCACCGTATCATAATATTTACGCAACGTAATAAATCTTCTACAAAACGTGGCCCTAAGTTTGTCTTGTCATCATATCAGCATACCACGAGTATCACAGTGTCTTCATCACACCGTTTTATCATGTCAAGGTATTATTATATCAGGGTATGAACTTACCCAGGGCACGGTCGACCTCCGTGTGAAGCTTGTCCTGGATGTCAGGGTGCTGTGCCAGTTCCAGTAGCGTCCACAGCAGCGTGAAGCGAGAGGTGTCCATCCCGGCTGCAGGGATACAGTAAAATCACTTTTAGTTTATCATTAAAGGTTATGATAAACAAAATCGTAATCACAATCTTTTAAGTCGGTCATCACAATGTTTTTTAAACCAAACTTACTTTTCGTACCTTCGAATCAACATCACACTCTCGATGGTAATAATTGGAGTTACAGATGCGTTACATTCAATGAGAGAGAGAGGGAGAGAGAGAGAGCGAGAGAGAGAGAGAGAGAGAGAGAGAGAGAGAGATTTTATGTCACTTTTAGCGGCTAACTATATCCATGCAGATGACGACACTGGCGTCTATAATAGGCTTCACACATTTACCCGTTTGGAGAATCGATTATGTGTAACCACAGCATAAATGATCAGAACTTGACGAGGAAACGGTTTAACTATACGGATAGGGACGATCAATAAATATTCCTGCATAATTTCGTAAAAAAAACTTTTTAGATGAATTAATATAAAAATAACTTGGCCACAGGTTGGACAACGCACCAAACATAGTTCGTTTGACATGCTGGATGTCCTGAAAAATGTGTTAATGTATCATTTTTGGCTTTCCCTTTCAGAGACAAACTAATTCTTGAAGTAGTAAACGAAACACAATTCCCCATGCTAACACAAATTCAATCCATTGAATATGGAATGGTTTGATGCAGATCATAGTTTGTAAGAGTAGATTTAAAAGTAGGCTCTAATATATACCGGAAAATATATCAGAGAGAGTCTGAGTGATATGGCCGTCAGTCATCTGTGACATCACTTCCGGGTCCTCCTCGTCACGAGCTTCTTCTTGAGCCAGTAACAGGGCATCACAAAAGTCACGGATGCTATCTGTTATGAAAACATAATGAACAGAACGATTGACATAGGCATACATTAATACTGTTCTTATATGCATATTCATGACTTTCTTTAACAGAGAGCATAGCATATCGCATAATGAGGGACTCATTCAAGTAAATGAACCAACACAAAATCTACGATCTTGGTTTAAATTCCAACTATCAGTACAAGTTACCAAAACCAAACTTTTTTCTGTGGAATGCAATTCCTGTCAGTCAGATGCTCTAAAACTCCAGAAACAATTTGTAGACATTCAAACACATACCATTTTGCGGTATTTGGTATTTGTAAGCCATAGAAATGAATTATTAAGATTGTTGTTATCATTATAATACCTTATTTCATTATGCAATCACTTTTTTGCAGATTGTGTGGTGTAACATTTAGAGAACTATCATAGTATAACAATGACCCTAAAGCGAACTAACTAAACAGTATGCACCTTTAGATACGGTCTGTCGATGCTTGTCAATTTCTTCATTCAAGTTACCCGTAAACTTAAGAACTTCTTTCATTATTGTTTTCAGCTTCTGAGTGTGGAAGAGACGGAGAGGGGGGATTACGTCCTCGAGAAAGCCGTTGCCGATGTCCAGGAAGGAATTCAAAACGTGCACCATCTCTTTGAAGTAGTTGTCGTGAACGTCGCATCTGAAAGTGGCGGTTGGGTTCATTCCACTATCGTCGTATCAATAGCACGATGGAGAGTAACCATGGGGGTTCAACTAATTCCAACTACTACATAAACCGTATAATTGCAAGAAATAGCAGAAAGAATTAAAACATTGGAAACCTTACAGTGAAAAAATACAGTATTCAAGGTTTAAAACGAATTCGATGGTGGCGTGCGAGGCAAAGACTACGTGCAGCATGCACACAACTGAAGTCATGACATGTAAGCTGGAACACCCTCTCATCACCTGCTTCGGTGGCACAACGGGCTATGATACTAAATATGATATTCGAGGCTGCAGGTTCGATTCACGTCATGGAATGTTCATGTGAAAAAACATTGCTACTTTCAACCAGTCAAAACGCAACCTAGGTCTTCCAAACCAATTCTAAAATCTCCAAACAGGTCTTACAATTCAAACGAAAACCCCCCAAGTAGGGGTTACAATTCAAATATAAAACCTCTCAGCAGGTCTCACTTGATTTTAGTACCTTTCACAAGGTTACAATGGGAAAGAAGATACCTACAATACATTTGGAAAAAGTGGCAATAGGTTAATAAGGAGGGGTAACCTAAAAACTGATTTCGGTTTGACCCTGCTTTGAACAGTAATTCAGTTATATAAAAGCCTGTCAGATTTCTGTTTGATGAAGCCAGAAGTGAAACAGATGTTTCTGTGGTGAAACCTACGAGCACGGGTATGGTGTTTACAAATTTAAAAAAAAAGGTTTCTAGCCTGTCTTAGACATGCAACTCATATACGATTGTGCATTACCACCTCTCCATGCTGGAGAAAGCATGTCAACATGTGGCGGTATTGTAGCCAGCACCCCACTCGGTCATATGTAGACATGATTGGTTTTTCCTTATAATCCTTGTGCAAAGGGAAGCAGAAACATAAACTTTGTACAGGTATTCAGAGCAAGTTATCTTAACTTTGTAACTGTTCCGTAGATCCTTGCATGAGACATTCCAGCCTGTTACACTTGTGTTGAGGATTCTATTTAATGCCATTATTACCAGAGGACTCAATGTTAGAAATCTGGACAATGTTCGGCTTACGTGACGCTGAAGCAGATATTGTTGATGATGTTGAACACAATGAGGGAGACAATGTCATGAGGATTGAATGGCCCCTCCATCTCCTGTATCAGCTCTATGCCTTTAGTGAGGGAGCGCTCTATCCCCTGGTCTAGGCGGGTACCCGTCATGTAGTGTCTGTGCAATGAGGGAGAACAGATACGATCAGAGCGAGTGATTTATATTTCAAAGTTGAATCTTCAATATCTCAACCATAGAGCGACGAGAACAATATGAATGTGTATATAAGCATAGAAAGTAAAACAATAAAATAATAAGATAAATATCACATGTGTATAAAATAATACAACACATAGATAGACGAGATGCGATGGTAATCAGAGGTCCAATTGTGACTGTTCATCATTATCATTCTGAAGAAACATGACAATAAAACTGGTAGATTGACTATGGACTTCTTTGTATATGTTGGTATACATTTTAGTACTGTTACGTTTCAGTCATCTATATGTGTGAACATCTGACATTATATCATTACGGGTCCCAGAGAAAATAACACTTTTTTTGTCACAAACGTTGACTGATATTGTCGAATACTGAAATGTACCCATACTGAATTATTTTTTATCAGTGGATGTCTTCAGATCAAAATATTACATCTAACATGTCACACGCATGATTGCTGGATGGAAATAGTTAAAAAGACGAAACTATCGCACATTCAAGGAACAAAAGCTGTTCACTAACATTCACATTGTCATCTATCTGTATAATCAACTATTGGTGACATTGTTAAAGTGGAAGGAACAAAATGATTTGTCGATACAGTATTTCGTCACTGACATTAATGAGTTTCTATGATCAACAGAATAACTAGAATAACAACACCAAATACAAAGGATAAGAGGAAAAGTGGGTGTAGTTCAATGACAGCAAGATACGTAAGCGTTCTCCCTGTGTTAGGAGGGAGGGACCAATGTTAAGACAAATTTTGCATGTGCCCACCGTTTAGTTAAACCATCACCATTACTTATAAGTTACTCAGACATATTTAAATTCCCCAAATCACATTTACACCATGTTAACATTCGTGATCATGTCAGGACAAATTGAATTGTCTCCCTTAGACTGTAACAGCCTGCCGCTAACACTCCTCCCACAAAAGACTACTCCTATTTCCTTCATAGTAATACACTTACGATAAAAAGTTTAACTGTGCAATATATACAGTTTAGAACAAACTGATTGCAACACTATTTACAACTGCTCAATTTCTGTACAATCCTAAATTTGGAATATCTAGGCAAAGTTCATAATCTTGTTGCTAAGCTGAAGTGGGCGTCTCAGAGAATTTCTTATGCGCTGCCGTCCCCCATGAGCAAATGCATTGTTAAAGTCATTAATGTCAATCGGCACACGATCTGTTCGTTTTGTGACTATCGCCAGTACCGGAACTTCTACACCAGGAGTTCCTGCATGAGGCGACCGCACTTTTTTAACCTCTGAGTTCTACAGGAGCAGAGGTCTGTCAAAGTCTATAAGAATTTTGGTCTTCTTGTTTCTTTATGTAGTGAATGCTTCCTTGCACAATGTTTCTCGTGCAAACTGTAATGCTAATGGTGTCCCACGTTCTCTGTAATTTGAAATCTGTACACAATAGTATTGTGTTTCCTTTCAAAAACTTCCTAATCAATGACAGACTTGTATCATCATAGCTCTCTTCATGAACATCGGGTGAACTCTTGATTAAAACACATCAGTGACGTCATTCTATTGTCTGAACGCTCCATTATTTTTCAGGAATTGAAAGTTGTTTGTCAACTATACATCATCTTGAATCAAAATTTGAATTAATTTCCACTTTGAACTATTTTTACATTTATTGACAAGTGAATAATTTCATTTGTTTTCCGAATACATGTGTCGACAGGCGGGTTTCGAACCCGCATCGTTTGATTCGAGGACTCGCGCATAAATACAGACTACAAAGAGTTCTGGTTTATTTTTAAAATATTTTCCACAACAGAATATTATTTCAAAATGTTAAAGTAGGGATGAGTTTTCAGTAGGGGAATATCCTCGTAACTCTCCATTCCTTCAAAACAATGAGCCTCGGCCCCTGCAGGGTCCTTTGCTCCATTATTTTTAAGGAATGGAGAGTTACTCGGACATTCCCCTCTACATAATATCCGTGCATCGCCCTGTAAACTGGCCGCCATATTTTCTGTTTTCTGATATAGTTTTCAGCATGAAATAGGCCATTAAATGACTTTTTATTCCCCTATTATCACCACACTCCCTACCGACACTTTTGCTTTTGTGTTAACCGCTGCCGCCAGTGAAAGATCGTAACAGCCAGTTCGTTACAACACGACTTGGTCATTTAAGATATATACTCAATCTGCTGTGTGTACAATCCCATCATTTCATCACAACCAAACCAGATATCTTAGCGACATGTACAAAACATTCGATCACTCACACGGCAATATTTCTTCAGGTCTACGAATTGAAACATGATGCAACTATTTCGAATATATCAAGTAGCTCACTTCAATGCTTTGGTAGCCAACTTTCTGTGTTGTTTCCAAGTAGGGCTGTAGTCTCCAAAGACGATATTCTTCCCGCCGTCGCTGAGGAGTAGCACTGCAAGTGGGTAAACAGTGTAAATGTATAAACTGTCGGAACTCATACAAACATGTACGTCTATTGCCATTCACGTAGGCACACATACTGCCATTGCTTTAAACTTCTTTGATAGGCATTTAGAAATTGGAGTACTAAGTTAGGATAAGAATTTGAATTTATCCTTATCTTATCCTTACTTAGTACTCCAACTTCTAAATTCCTATCAAAGAAGTTATTCGTCGTCTTAATGGAGACGTGACAATCTCAACCATCAACTGATGTTTGATAAGGGTGTTAGAACCTATACCGAAACGTCGCTCTTAATTGTAATAAAGAAGTTGTTCATCCATAAATTCTTATCCTTACTGAAAATATTTGGTTCGTTTAAATGAAGGGTCTGGGTTATTTCGCTGTAGTTTTCGCATGGCAATGTATCATGATACAGGATAAGATTATGCAGGGATTGTATATGATTCAGCCAAAATGTCCATCACTGCCAGGTGTACAGATCTTTCAAGCAATTTGTAAAACGATAATGTTATCCTGGCAGAATGAAGCACATCGTGTGTGATACCGTGAGGATGAAATAATGATGCAACAGTGAGTGCTGTCCGTATTTACATGTATAAGTCTGGGGCCGCCCTGCAAAGTCCGCCTGTCGTTTAACCAGTGCCTCAAGCACAACGTCTATGTTGTTCAAGGCCACCATTGTCATTGGTCCTGTAACGAGAAAACTTTATCATTATATTCTATAACCTAATGATAAAATCAAATTACGCCTTTTATTTAAGTGATCGATACGCGTATATTTACACTCGATACATTAAACCCGTGTCATGTAATATGCTCTATTCTGGAGGTTCAAAGAAGCACTTAAGTATTTACCAGGAACAAATATTTAAGGAGATGATACACCATTTTGAAACACATGCTATACTATTTGTATAAAAGAAAATTAATTGAATATACGTATATTTCCATATGACAAAATATGCACACATGTATATCCGTTAATATCTGTGCATCCTCATCAGCGTTTGTTTGGGATATTCTGAGCCTTCTAGTGAGAACTGAAATGGGCTGCTGACTTCTTCGATGACGTAATGATTGTCAAGGATCATAGGCCTTGCATTCGTCACTACAAAATCTCATTTTGTTGATTCTGAGTTTCGAATTCTCTAGTATCCAGAGTTATATATCTCCATTCTATACTTGATAAATCTCTTTGACCCATTTCCTAGCACAGATTAATAACAGTTAATTCACCATCTCTATCTCTCGACTCACTTTCTCTTGCTCATAAGGGTCATTATATTTGACTGGTCGGTCTTCCCACATGGCTGTGGTAGCAAATGAGTCTAAGCAATACGTCATCATGAAATGGACATATGATACCCTTGAAAAGAGAAGGGGGAGTTTGCAGCTTATGAACAATTTTAGCTTCCAAACTTTGAAAGATATCAGTGACATGCACCTGTTTACATACCTATATTAAACCTTACAACCGGGCCATATTGAGCCTTCCACTCCGTCAACTTCTCGTAGATACTGGCGTTCCGGAACTCTGCAGTTGATGTTGTTAGTGGAACACATTATGGCAAACACATACTTGTATGTTACTACTTTCAATTTACATAAATTATGTATATGTCTCGGAAATAATATGTGTGTTACTACTGAAGCCAACATGCATTCATACATGTATTAGAGAAGGTCAGTTATGGTTATTTAGCGTAGAAGCATATACACGCGACAAAACCATTTCCATTATCATAAGAAATATATGCTAAAAACTGAGTCCGTTGTATGATTCCGCTTGTTACATCAGCATATGTTTATGAATAAATGATGGCGCTAGGTGTTCGAGAAAATGTGAGCGTGTCCTCTTTCACCGCTGGTACCCGTCACAAACACATGCCAGGGCAAGTCGAGGGCAACATGATATTTTCTTAGGTAGCAGTGTCGACTATATATTTGGGTCCCAGTAAAATCCCGAGACAGATGTGAAAATTGGCGAGTGAGATATATATATATATATACTGGCGAGTGATATAGCAGAATATCACTCTCCAATTTTCACATATTAATATATTTATTAATACATTACAACTAAAAACAAAAAAACACATTGTGACATTTTCCACAACGTTTTTAACGTTGTCAAACGCTTGAATCGAAAATCTACCTCGCACATTTTTCAAAGTGAGATGTCATTCATTCTGTTCCCGATATGGTTAGAATGTTACAAGCGGGATTTAATGCTCCCTATATAGTTCGAATGTTACCAGTGTAATTCAGTGCTCTCAATATAGTTCGAATGTTACCAGTGTCATACACTGTTTCCGATACAATCTTCCCGATATCGTTAGAATGTTATCAGCGGCATTCAACGCTCCCGATATCGTTAGAATGTTATCAGCGGCATTCAACGCTCCCGATATCAACTGGGCGGCAAAAAAAGTATAGGTCGAGTTCCATGATCGATAAAAAAATAACAAGAAAAGGTTTTGTTGTGAATTATAATATAATCTAGGGAGGGTAACAAATGATTGATCAACCACAGTTTGAATGAAATTGTGCAATCACAGGTCAGGTGTGAGTGAGTGAGTGAGTTGGGTTTAACGCCGCTTTTAACAGTATTCCAGTCATATCACGGCGTGTCAGCTTAATGTGGGAGGAAAGCCCGAAGTGATGCAGATCTCAGACGTTTACCACTTCGGTGAAACCCACGAGCACGGGAATGGTGCTGACAAACCTAGAAACATAATCGGGGCGAACCGGGATTCGAACCCATAATCATAGGTTTCTGGCGTGCCCAAGGGACGCAACTCTGCACAGCGAATCGCGGCGCTTTAGACGACAGATTTCCCTGTATAATCACCAAATCAGTCTTCTGATCTCCACAAATACCGCTCCACACCATGACACCTCCTCCGCCGAATGGATGGACCTCTCGAATACACGCCGGAGCCAAACGTTCCCCTCTGCGTCGATAAGCTCGTTCTCTGCCGTCATTTCGAAACAAGGTAAACCGACTTTCATCAGTAAACAGCACACGACGCCAATTTCTCACTTGCCAGCGTCGAACCTGCCTCGCCCAACGCAGTCTCAGGCGTCGATGTTGAGCAGTCAGTACCATTCCTCGGAAAGGACGATACGCTCGGATTCCAGCAGCACGAAGTCGTCGTAGTACTGCACGTTGGCTAATGGGATGTTCCAACGCTGTTGCTGCCGTCGCCGTCGCCGTCGCCGTTACGAATCTGTTTCGCAGGTGAATTAGCCGTATCTGACCGTCTTCCAGTGGTGTTGTCACTCGGGGTCGTCCGGTTCTAGGCCTGTCCTGTGTCCTCCCTGTCTGCCTGTACCCTTTGAATCCGCCTTGGCTACTGTCAATGGTGTACAACCAAACCTTCTGGCAATTTGGACCTGTGTTGCCCCCATTTCGGCCATACCGATGGCTCTCTCTCCTGTGACAGTCGTGGCATTTCTTTTGTGTGCTTTCATCACGTGTGGTTATACCCTGCAGACGAACGCATTTATACAGCTAACATGCTTGTGCAGTCCATGCCATAGGCGGGAAACCTGTTTCACCATTTTTGTGTCACCGCACGAGCGCCGTAAAAGGTGGCGCGTTCGGGTGAGGTGTTTTTTGGTACCTGTTCCTGGGCAGTCATATTCCCAATACCCCCTTTCCACTAGTTATCGCTGTTTTTAGGAAAATTACAAATTGCCAACCTATACTTTCTTTTGCCGCTTAGTTTAGTTACAATTGACCAGTTACCAATGACATTCATTGTTCCCGATACAGTTAGAATGTTACCAGTGACATTCGTTGTGTGATGTTTATCACTGTATATGACGTCATAAAAATAAGACGTCGTTCAATATAACGTCTTTTTGAAGCAAAAAACCGCCGTGACGTCAATCTACGGCACGAGACTGGTGACATCGACTCCTTGCGGGACGATACGAATATGTCGATTCCTGCCATGTATTAGGTGGCATACAATGTGTGTGTATGTACAGATACATAATAATATCAAGGGATACAAGTAGAAACAATTTTGTTGCTTTAATAGGTGATTACAACGTAGTTATTAATAAACCTTACGAAACTGTACACTCATATGATGCCCCTACATAAAGAGTTCAACATATCATAACATCACCTAGGAGGTTCCCAAGCAACGGCCATCCTCGGGGTCCAGGGGGTAGCTTGTACCTCTTCTTGGTGATGAGATAAACGGCTACTCCGACGCCTGACCCCACTAGAACAGCCCGGCCGGTGAGGCTGGTAGGCAACCATTCCTCCCAATCTTTGATCAAGTCCAATAGTTGCTTCATGTAGGGCAGATTCTTCAGCATGTCCATGTCCAGTGTCATCTACATGCAGGGTAAGTACAAACAAGGAATCAGGACATATAGCGCGTATAGCTTCAAAAACGCAAAATAAAACAAAATATTAATGAATACGTCAACAATAATAACTTCACAGGCTACTCATTTAATCATTTTCGCAAAACCCTAAAGACGCCTATACGTCCGTGCACGTCCTGATCTTGGCAAGTCCCTCACATATCCAGTCACTGTGTGTTTTCTTATGAGTCGACAGATAACAGTGTGGTTAATGTTCAACACAGTGGCAACAGCCCGATATTACATGTCAGTTTGGTTCATGCCAATGATTTGCCATCTGTGAGTCCCCTTGGTGCGCATACGGATCGCATAAACCCACCCAGAAAGTTGGGCAGTTAAAGTCAACACACAGTGTACCATTTGAAAATCTCTATATTGAACATTAACTCGCAATTACACGTCAAACTTGGTGTTATGATACTTTTGACACGAGGTGTATATTTATTACAACATATACGACTGTAAAAAGAACTGCTACCATATATTTTCATATAAACTGGATTTCTAACCATGTATCTTGTAACAATGTCCTGACAAAAAACACTGACACTCATTAGTTTATGTCGAGTTATGTAAGTTATCCATCGCAATAGATATTTGCCTACCTACATGTATTCAGCTGCTACCTGTGCTTCTTTGCATCATATATTATGATCCAGTTACATTTAAAAACGTTCTACAATTAACATTATCGCATTGTCGTTTCTATAACCAACTCAGTTGCCTCTGCACATTGTTTATTTTTAAACATTTTGGTTACAAGACGCATTGTTGTTTACTGATCACTTGGATTCATATCTAAAGCTTTTAATCATACGTTTTCAGGAATGCAAAATACACGATTATTTTTAATCATACATATATTCATATTTTATCTTTTAGAAACAACATATTAAGTACGATGCAATACTTACATAAGGTTTTTCTTAATTGCTCATAATAAACAGCTACGAAATACGAGTTATAAACATATCCGTACAGGTGAGCTATTTTCTCATTTCTTTACCTGTGTACTGGGAGCCATTGAATCTATGTGCCTGAGAATAGCCATATAGTTACACCCCCTCAGAGCGTATACAAACAGAAAGGGAACAGAAAATCTCGGATGGAAAGTGAGTGAGTGAGTGAGTATAGTTTTACGCCGCTTTTAGCAATATTCCAGCAATATCACGGCGGGGGACACCAGAAATGGGCTTCACACATTGTACCCATGTCGGGAATCGAACCCGGGTCTTCGGCGTCGGATGGAAAGGATGAAATAATCATTCAATAGATAATAATAACAAGATGTTTCATTTTATTGCCAGCTGAATAGTCACAGCTAACGTGGTTTATAGGAGTAAAACAATGGAGAACAATAATTATTGTTGAGGATATCGGTGTTACCGATTAAACGACCGCTTGTGATAGTTCAGTTTTCGTACGGAAAAATATGAAAGTGACCTGTCTCTTTAAATATGTCTTAAATTGTAAATATGCAATGCACGGTTATACCCTGTTTTGCCCTACCCTTTGTCAACAGATGTGTCAAATGAAGTGGCCAGGAAGCGCACCACATACGCTCTCTCACGTGACTGGTGTACACACAGTGGCAGATATAGGTCATCTTTCGACTATTGCGAAATCACCGTGTCGAGTATGGCATATGACTTCAAGTCGTGTTTTTCTTTGATATTCTAAGTGCGATGAGAATAATGTTACAAATAGTAGTGCATAAGCAATGTGCATGTTTGTGAATGTAGACAATATCTATATCACAGAGGACTGGGGAAATCGATGTATGATGGAATAACCTGAACGTTTCATGTCTCATAAAAACACAGGGCAAAGTCCATATGGTAGTTGCGATATTGAGTTCACAGTCGACGTAAGTGGAACAGCCACTGTCACGGCAGCCAACATTAGCCTAGATATGTGAACCATACCAAGTCGCTAGAGATCAACAACGATAAAATAAGCCTCAACGTCAGAACTGCCTCGAGATGTTCTGGTAATTTCTAAAGCACAAGCTAGCTCTTTCCCGCGCGTCATGGATCCTGCACCAAACATATGCAGCTTACGTGTGCACGATAACAACGTTCCAACTATCAGCTGTATATACTACCACTGCAATGGAACTAATTAACTGTGGGTATTAGGTATAAAGGCAGAAGCGTTATTAAGATCAGCTTTACCTGGAGCGTGTGTACCGGTGAGAAGGGTGACTGTGTACTGCCTGTGCTAGCTTGAAAGCCAAAAATAAACATTATAAGAAAGGGTCACACGGGTGATCACCGTGTCTCGGAGGATGTCAATAGGTGTGTATATCTTCGTAGAAATAAATTTTACATGTTTTATAATGATATTTGTGAACGACCTATTACGATTATCATTTGAACGATTATTATTTGGTCAAACTTGAGAGTGAAATGTAATTTGTAAACGTTTACAGTTTAGTTCTACGTATTACTATTACCTTTAAAATGTACAATGCGGTGTGGTAAGGTTAAATGGGTTTTAACATCGTATTTGCGATTATTACACTTATGTAGCGACATCCAGTCCACACGTGTGTGGCTGATTGTACTAGTCTGGACCTATGGCAGTCCAATAGTGTTTTCCCACTGAGATACTTTGCCGCAGTTTAACATTGATACCCCACTATAACATGGATATCCCACTTAGGCACATTATGCTGCCTCCAGCCGACAAGTCCTTGTTGTATCCCCTTAATGCTGAACGCCAGGCAAGGTAACAACAAGTACCATCCGCTCTCAAGGAATCTCGTTCGCTCGTCACGCCGAAGACCCGGGTTCGATTCCCGACATGGGTACAATGTGTGAAGCCCATATCTGGTGTCCCCCGCCGTGATATTGGTGGAATATTGCTAAAAGCGGCGTAAAACCATACTCACTCACACACTCAAGGTATCTACTGCACCACCAAGATGGTCATTTACAGTGCAATAGCATGCATATTTGAGGAAACTAATACTGTTCATAATCAGTGACGGTTGCTTTCTTGTCATAATCACTGTATTGTTATGAGGCGCTGTCTGACGTGTTCGGCTTTGTATAAGAGGTGCGTCCCTAAGATGAGCTAGAATTACTTCTTCGCGAGTTCAAATTAAATGTACTCCCTTGTTTCTGGGATTTCCCCAAACGTTTTATACCTACGTCACTGTGTGCTTTCTTGTCGTGTTAAGACGACACTGTGATGTAACTTAAAGGGGCATGCTGTACGAATAGTATGTGTTTTGAAATTTACCCTACAGTCTAGTGCTTAATAAGTAAATAATATAAAGTCTCAGTATCCAGCATCCTTGTATTTTACTATCGTTCACAAAGAAAATACAATATATATTTTGCCAATCCAGTGATTACAGAACCAATATTCTATTCCAAAACAAGCATCATTCAAGAATAACACAATGGAGGGGTCTGAGCCGACGATGGGTGAACAGTATTGTAAAGCCTACACACCACAACACAACACAACCTCCATTCCAACACATCACACTCACCGACGTTGAGTGAACACTATTGTAAAGCTTTCACACCACAACACAAAACAACCTCCATTCCAACACATCGCACTCACCGACGTTGAGTGAACACTATTGTAAAGCTATTACACCACAACACAAAACAACCTCCATTCCAACACATCACACTCACCGACGTTGAGTGAACACTATTGTAAAGCCTACACACCACAACACAAAACAAACTCCATTCCAACACACCACACTCAGCATCTCTTAACTTTACCCACGGTTTGCCTGAAATGACTGCCTGACAATGGACGGATGGATGGATGAATGACTACTGATCCACACCACAAATGGTTTTCGAAGTGGTTGTTATATAAGTGGGAAATTAAATTGTAAGCAACAAAGCATGGTATATAACCATTGACAAATTTGACATTGACACTGACAAAACTGTATTGCCCGAAACATGGAATTCTTTGAATATGTATCAACAGATAACATTTTAAACACCTAGGATTAGACATACCCAGCATACAAAGTAAGCCACAAAGTTTAGAAAGAACGACATGGTTTAACAATCTTTCAAAAGAAGAATGTTAGTTAGTATAAACTATCTACGAGCTCTGTATGTTTTATAAAGTAACAGAATGTATCGTCGACCAAAAGGTGAGAGTGTTTGCTAATTACTTAAGAAAGTGGCCTGGGTCAGTATTTGTTTCAGAACACGTATGTTTAGAACATGTTTTTCATATAAAATGCTAAGATTGTCAAATGATACTCCGTCAGGTTTGCTTGCCAAAAAAAATATGTTAAGACGTGATTTATTATGAAGTGATTAAACTCCATAACAACACGAAGAGGTAACTGTTAAAACACTTTCAACAAACATGTCAACAAAAATTACATTCTCTTTTAGCCTTCATGTCACTGAAGCCTTACATTATAACTATGTATGGAATACTCAGTGTCACTTGTGACAGTCTAAATTTATATGTTACATTGCTGTCACTGGTAACATTCTAACTACATGTATATCGATACCAGGGGTCACTTGTAACATTCTAAATAAATCAGGAACATTGGATGTCAATGGTAACGGCCTAACTATATCTGGGACATTGAATGTTGTTATCATTATCCTTTTCATCCACTGATCCTACGATTGAGAGACTAGGAAAATTCCTTTCCCAATGATCACTTCTTGTCTTCTCAGATAAAAGTCCAGATTTTTTGCCTCGCTTTAGAATTTTCCAAAATTACTCGATTCTAGCAACTTAAGCTTCTGATCATACTGGTACAGTTTCTTCTTCTTAGCAAAAGTAATTTAAACAGATTTCTCAATTTTCTAAGATCAACGTCCACCCCATAATCTCTGTGTGCTCTTCATATTTTTTTAGAATTGGTCTTCAGCAACCCAGGCTTGCCGTAAGAGGCGACAATGCTTGTGGTAAGAGGCGGTTTACGTTATCGGGTGGTCATGAAGTCAGTCTGTCTAGTCCAGATATGATTATTTACAGACCGTCGTCATATAGCTGGAATATTGCTGACTGCGGGGAAAAACAACAACGAAACAAACTTAACATATATACGACCCATGAAGATCCGGGTTAGAATTATTAGTCTTCAGCAACCCATGCTTGTCGTAAGAGGCGACTATTCTTGTCGTAAGAGGCGTCTATGCTTGTAAGCGGCGACTAACAGGATCGAGTGGTCAGGTTTGCTGACTTGGTTGATTGGATCGTCTTTTCCAGACATGATTATTTCCAGAACGCCGCCATATAGCTGAAATATTGCTGAGTGCGGAAAAACAACAAACAAACAAGATTAACATACGACCCGTGACGATCCGGGTTAGAATTAGTCTTCAGCAACCCATGCTTGTCGTAAGAGGCGACTATGCTTGCCGTAAGAGGCGACTAACGGGATCCGCTTGTCAAGTTCGCTGACTTGGTTGATTGGATTGTCTGGTCCAGACATGATTATTTACAGAGAGGCGTCATATAGCTGAAACATTGCTGAGTGCGGAAAAAACAACAAACAAACAAACTTAACATACGACCCGTGAAGATCACCTTCAACAACCCATGCTTGTCGTAAGACGCGACTATGCTTGTAAGCGGCAACTAACAGGATCGGGTGGTCAGGTTCGTTGATTTAGTTGATTGGATTGTCTGGTGAAGACTCGATTATTTACAGACCTCCGTCATATAGCTGGAATATTGCTGGATGTGGTGTTAAGCAACAAACAAACATTTTTTTAACATATTTTCTGTAATTACCAATTCGTCCGCTTTGTTGGATAAAAACAACGTTTCATGGCCTATTAGATATTTTTTATCTTATTACTTGTACTCATTTTTGTTTGTTTTTTATTTTGCTGTGTGTTCTATTTATTTGTACGCCAGTTGATATTCTCACGATCTTATCAAACTGAGAAAGACATGTTTTATTGACTGACTGCACTGTACTATTAATCTCCCGGACGTCTGATGAAACCTCCCGGACGTTCCCGGACTTTAAATAGTAGGACCCAACACCTCTAGTGATCTTTTCGCGATCCCGAGCCTTGCGCATAACCTGGTTGGGTGACTTCCTTTCAATACAATACTCACTATGGTCATTGGGCAAATGTAAAAAATCACAAACCCTTACGAATAACTGATTTGATTTCATCAAATAATGTACTTTATCATCTATAAAACCGAATATGGTATTGTATCTATAGCCGTATATGCCCATTTTGTCAATAATTCGTGAAGATAGGTACAGTATCGTAACATTTACATATATGGTCATATTCAGATGATGTCTCTACATATATGTAAGGGCAAGCTTCTTTGGATTCTTCCACATAGGGCAGATTTCATTTGCCGGAACAGAAAATAGTCACTGGGGGCTAAGTCTGAGCTGTAGGGTGGGTGATACGGCCCAGACTTAGCCCCCAGTGACTATTTCCTGTTCTGGCAAATGAAATCTGCCCAACGTGGAATACGCTTCCAGGATGAGGAAATAAAGGCTGCCACAGAGGCGTGGTTAGAGGGCCAATCTGCGGATTTATATAAAAGTGCTATTAAAAGCTTGAGTGAGTGAGTGAGTATGGTTTTACGCCGCTTTTAGCAATATTCCAGCAATATCACGGCGGGGGACACCAGGATTGGGCTAAAAGCTTGAAGGACAAATGGAATAAGTGTATTGAGGTGAATTGAGATTATATTGAAAAATAAAAGTGCAAAAGATATTCTGCGACTTGGTCTTATATTGAAGTTGCAAAACTTATTGAACGCCCCTCGTACATCATTTATAATTTATAGTCAACATATATACCTATAAATATTTACTATACTCAATTATGTAATGCAATGTAATGTAATGTAATTTATTACTTAAACTTTTCCCCTTACAATTAAGTATGGTGGTTTATATCTATTAAGCATATTATTTATCATTCAACCCTTCCTACCCCGTCGACGAAATACAGGACTGTGAAGTTGACGCTGAAACCTAAAAATTGATGATGATAATAAATGAATGTTAATGCAACAAGCGCTGCGTGTGAAGATAAATTTATATACGTTTGACACATTAACATATTTCAACACCTTTTTTAACTGTAACATTAGATTCATTTAAACGTTAAATGCATATAAAAAAACCTTGAAATTGAAAGGTCTACAAAAAGATGTATTTCTTATAATAGAAGGTCCATAAGGATATTTTGTAAAGTACACGTCACGAAAAAATATGTCTCTTTATATTAAACACAAGACATTTCCCCACACCCCACTTTTTGTTTGTTTCTGGTAAAAGTTGATAAGAGGAGGTTTGGTGGGGGACAAGTTAATTGTTCAGATTGTGTTATTCTGACATTACCCAGTATTAACTGGAGGATATTGGAAATGACTGTCATGTTGTCTGACTGCAGACAGGATGTGTTATTTTAACAATCACTGGGGTTTTTACATTAGGGGTTGTGATTTTTACAATTGCCCAAATGATTCTGCTGAGTATTGGTGCTTAGTGATGTCAAAGGTAACATTTATATTATTAGAATAAATCGGTAGTGAATACTTAATACCATGTATACAGGATATCTTCAGGATTTGTAACCCTTTCTTTCTCTGTGTGTAATTATGATGGACACAAGTCACTCAACCAGTTCATGCATTCCATGGTAAAACAAATCAGACATGGTTCGAATCCATGTTTTTCTGTGACAACTTCTAAATGGTAACATTTAAGTTAACTTGGCAAGTGGTGATGACTTTTGATATTCATATTATTATAATCTGTCAAATTGTACATAAATGTGTGTGTTAAATCATAAAATTCAAAGGGACTGTTCCCTACACCCTTCAATATTTTAATGAATGAACATTACTTCGGAACATTCGTATTTTTCGGATTATATAAAGATCTCACTAAGTATATGTATTGCATTTTGCACGCATGAAAGATGGAATTAAGGGGGAAAGGAAATATTTTCCTGAACGTTTCCAATAACTAGTGGAGGAAATTGGAAATGGACGAACCTGCAGACAGCATCAAATCCGTGATAGATTTGACAGATCTCACAGGGTAACATTCAACAGGCTCATTACCTTGTGACCATGTTACCGTTTTTCTCAACAGTTTAGAAAAAGAGAAGAAATTTGAAGTGAACTACAATGGAAAATGAGATTAGAAATTAATAGTCAATGTTTTTATCATAACAAACTCAGTGAGTGAGTGAGTGAGTATGGTTTTACGCCGCTTTTAGCAATATTCCACCAATATCACGGCGGGGAACACCAGAAATGGGCTTCACACATTGTACTCATGTCGGGAACCGAACCCGGGTCTTCGGCGTGACGAGCGAACGCTTTAACCACTAGGCTACCCGACCGCCCCTAACAAACTCAGTGTTCAGTAAACAACAGTTGTTATTTTAGTACCCTCAAGAGGAATCCTAATCCTTCTCTTACTCTGTTATGATACATGATGTCAAAGTGAAAACAAAACAAACATTAACGCGCAACAAAGAATATCCATGGACTTGTTTATTTGCTTATGGTTGATATACATGTGTTCAGAATAATTAAAACGTATACTGTATCAACTATAAATTTCTTCCGTGTGTGAATGCGTGTAATACTTGCATATTGGCTCCCCAGTTCTCATAATGTTTCATATGAAAGCAAAATTGTGTGTTTAATTAACCTAATCTCTCATGTCAGCGACTGATTTCAAACCGCATGTCTTGGTATTACACAGCCAGTGTCCCAACTCTCGTGTATCTACTTTAATGTTTCGCCTTAGCGATCTTACGTTCTAACATTTCAGATAATGAGGTCACTCCGTTATTCCAATCACTGCAATGACAGGTGAGGTGAGGTGAAGTGGGTTTAACGTCGGGTTCAAGATTATTGCACACATATAGCGACTTGCATACACGTGTGTGTGTGTGTGTGTGTGTGTGTGTGTGTGGCTGCTTGCTAGTCCCGACTAATGCCGATTTTATAGTTCTGGCCCATTGAGATAACATGCAGCAGTTTAACATGAATGATCCGGACACAATCAGATCAGGCTTAAGTTGAAAAGCACAGTTCTCTCTAGATACACTTATGACCCCTAACATCTTGTTTGTCTACATATGCACGTATGTTCATATTCTTGAGTGAGTTGGGTTTAACGCCGCTTTTAACAGTATTCCAGTTATATCGCGGCGTGTCAGCTTAATGTGGGAGGAAAGCCCGAAGTGATGTAGGTCTCAGACGTTTAACACTTCGGTGAAACCCACGAGCACGGGAATTGTGCTGACAAACCTAGAAACATAATCGGGGCGAACCGGGATTCGAATCCACAAACATAGGTTTCTGGCGTGCCCAAGGGGCGCAGCTCTGCACAGCGAATCGCGGCGCCTTAGACGACTCTTCATATTCTTGAGAAAATAAACTTGGGTCAAATATTTGATCGTTCTCAAAGAATATAATAAATGATTCCATAAAGCCACAAGAGTCAACAATATTAAATTTATTTGTAATATGGACCTTGTCCTTTAATTATGTATTTATCAAACCATGCTTGCCGTAAAAGGTGACTATGCTTATCGTAAAAGGCGACTAACGGGAACGGGTGGTCAGGCTCGCTGACTTGGTTGAAGCATGTCATCGATCCTAATTGCGCGGATCGATGCTCATGATATAAAAGTGTTTACAGACCGCCGCCATATAGCTGGAATATTGCTGAGTGCGGCGTTAAACAACAAATATTCAGGATCTGCTTGTATGAGTTCTTGTAGCTGAAATATTGCTAACCTCAACACAAAACTGCGTTAATTAATTTATTGTGGCGAGGGAGATTTACACTTCACACAATGGTGCGGCAATATCCACTCAGAATAAAATGCCTAGAATATGTACGCATACTAAGGAAAATAATACCCTCGGCGAAAAAATATTTGTTAATCATATGTACAGTAGGTTCGAGGCCATGTCCTTATATATCAATCTTAATGGTAATATGAGTTATAGTCTCGATTCAAAACTGAGTTCATAATCTTGTGGCACGTTTATGAAAGATCCTCCACGTGGCTCAAGGTTCACCTTAGCTCCAGGTGGGAGGGATACTTTGAAATGCCTCATGATTCCAGCCAGCAGAAGATGCAGTTCCGGCTTGGCCACGCTCTCTCCGAGACACACTCTCCTTCCAGCGGAGAACGGAAGCCAGCTCTCTGGTTTGGCAGCCATCTTGCCATCATGGTCAAGGAACCGGTCTGGATTGTATACTTGCGGGTCCCGCCACTGTTCTGGATCCTGGTGCAAAGCGTAATGATTGATGAGGACGGTGGTTCCTTTAGGAATGTCATAGCCACCTGAAAATGCAATGATTGAACTACGTTAATATGCACAGATAACCGACAATCACTTTGATAATTAATTTATAGCTTGTGCTATCCTTAAATTTCACAATTAACCCATTCATAAGTATAAAAAACGAAACGGAAATAATGATAATGACAATACGGATAGATCCAATATATCCTGCCGAATGCTAAATGACACTATCCAACACATTGTCAGTGGATGACCACCTTTGGCACAGACACAGTATCTTAAGCGACATGATGGCATGGCTCGATCATTTTATTGCTGTCTTCGCCATGACTCCTTTCATCGTATGACCCAGAATATGTAGAGGGCTTCAAGGAAAATGATGATTTTATAATTCTTTGGACTGGGCCCATATGCATCCTTAGAATTATTCAGGCCAAAAAACCTACATTGTCCCATGAAATCATTTGTATCATTGCATCCTCTGTCCCTTTTGACACTAATGTGATTGACAAGTTTCAGGAATAACATGGCAAATATGCGGACCTCGATTGCGCAATGTCACGCATCCCAAGTAGCAAGTTGTCCGACTCCCCATTGTGCTCGGAGCTTTAGATTTGGTACCTCCCAATCTGTTGACTGACGTTGAGAGAGAACCCGGGTTTGCTGCCACGAATACAGCTCTTCTGACAATCTGGGTAATGCAGAAGGCTGCAGTGTTTGGGAGTATTCACTTTGTCTGAAAAGTACTTTGTGAGATCGACTAGACAGCGCTTCACGGGAGAAGTCCCATTCACTCCCGGGGCTGCGTGTAGAGATGATAATCAGCCTAACCAACCTGACTGTTCCAGGATCACTCGAACCTTCTTTGCCCCATTTATTTTAATCTGTATAATGACAATAATCATAATAATATATAACTCCCACCCATCAACACCAACCCTCCCAACCTAAGAATGTCAAAACGTTAAGAAGCGTGGGCAGCTTGTCTGTTTGAGACGGGATCTCTTAAGGATTCCTGCAGGTATGATTTTATATTTACTGTGCAACTCGAATTGTCGTGTTTCGTGAGTCCCTTTACAACATATTCTAAGTCAGTCTATTGCAAAATTAAGATGATGAAGCGATGAGTCATAGACTAAAAATCAAATTGTCAAATTTACCGCGTAATATAGTAAACAAAAAGTGAAATAATACAAAGTTTATGACAGGTCGCGCTTAGCTTGCCGTAAAAGCGAAATTTAATATCAACGTATTGTAAACCTGTCGCTGAACGTTAGAAATAGAGGGAAATAAACGAATAAAGGTAGTAATTTGCTCATACAATAGTAAACTAACAAAGATATTTTTATTACTTTTATGTTTTCTAATAGATTAACGTATTATTCGCATTTAAATAAACTTTTGTAAAATGTTAAATACTATCACAAATACTTTGATGCAAAAGTGTTAAGAGGGTGGGGTGGATTTCCCTCTATGCTACTATAGTAAAGTGTGATTTGGTGAGAAAATTAATAAGTGCCCAGCGCAATAAATTGAATACCAACCCCATTCTTTGTTCAATTGAAAAGTTAAAAACGTCATCTAGAATTTACGAAATACGTACTCAGAATATTCACCAGTTGACATCCTAAAAAGGAGACTTACCGACTTTCGTGTCACACAGAGTTTTGTGGGGAAGCCCGCATGGCACCACTGTGTGTAACCTCATACTCTCGTGAAGCACAGCGTCAGTGTAAGGGAGACTACTCCTGTCTGATACACTGGGGAAATGACGCGCACCTGCATTCATAAATACATTTGTAACTTGATGAGAATAATCTAAAGATAATCTCAAATCCGGTATCATAATATATGCAAATAAACCCGGTTCGCCTGGGTGGGACTGTTACTTATGGAATACTGTAAGGGACATTCTCGCGATCTCGCATTCTCGCGATCTCGACCTTTGGAAACGAGCTAAAATGCCCAAAACACGAGAATGCGAGATCGCCAGAACGCGAGATTTGACAAAAGTCTCGCATTCTCGTGTTTTTGGTACATGGCACTTTTTGTCAAAAGTCGAAGATGCGACATTTGGACATGATGCAAAATCTCGCAATCTCGCAATCTCAAATTGTCAAATTAGGCCACAAAAACACGAAATCGCGAGAACGCGAGAATGCGACATTTCATTTTCTCGCGATCTCGCGTTTTAGACGCTGTCCGTGCACATGCGTAATATCATAGATCAGGGCGCATGCGCACGTTAGTAGTCCTTTGATCATGCTTCTTTCATGCTCTTTATTCTCCAAGTAGCATTTAGCAAAATTATTACTTGAGCTTGAAAATGCGATCTCGCATTCTCGTGTTTTGGGCATATTTAGCTCGTTTCCAAAGGTCGAGATCGCGAGAATGCGAGATCGCAAGAATGTCCCTGACAGTATTGCATAGTAACTAGTGTTTTTAACATCGCTATGTAGAATAAAGGCAATGACGTTGCTCGTGCTTTCAATAACAATCACTATTTCATCATACAACAGCATCAGTATCAATGTATCATATCATATTATTATGCATAAATATGCATCCAATATAAGACCCTGAGCTGAAGCCTTAACCATCACTGGTAAATATAAATGCTTAACACACCAACACCTCGCTTTATCTCACATATCTATGTATAGGTACATTGGTGACTGACCTTGCACCACGTTAATACATCATCCACAGAACAGGGCCGACGTGGTCAGACAGGGAGACCCTCTCTAATGCCTTCGCATTATTGCTTCGTCTACCTTTATTGCAGCGGTCATCTTAAACAATTTACTTCATCCCTGAGTTTTTGCTTTGTCATCATTTTAGCTTAAAATGGCACCGTATGATAATATCAACGCATAAATATATCACAGTGTCTTCATCACACCGTATCATAATATCAGGGTATGAACTTACCCAGGGCACGGTCGGCCTCCGTGTGAAGCTTGTCCTGGATGTCAGGGTGCTGGGCCAGGTCCAGTAGCGTCCACAGCAGCGTGTAGCGAGATGTGTCCAACCCGGCTGCAGAGATACAGTATAACCACTTCCCGAACATCATAAAGGAGACTAAGAAGGAAGTACAAACTCTTAAATCTATAACAATGTATTGTTAGACATTTGCGATTTGCTGCAGCCCAACCACTCCATGTAATACACCAAGGAAAGTTAAACTTGGTGGTACTGTGCACGGCGCACAGATAACAAAATCAGTTGAAGTGAAGCAACGTCGGTCGCAGAGAGACCTGAGCACAGAAGCACATGTAACACATGAAGGGTCTCCTCAGCCAAGTGACTTAGTTCAAATACGCCTATGTTCACCCTGCTATCTGTTCTTGGGATGATGTTGAAAAAAATATTAACTTATTCCAGAAAATGTAGGTAAAATTAACTATTCGTGAAGCTGTAACAGAAAAATAAAATATTTGCCCACCGATTGTTGAATGATCGGTCTCTTCCAAACCGACTTAATGCAGGTGATAACATGTGAGGATCGACCATTTCTTTCCGGAGGGGGCTGCCAAAAAGAGTTTTCCTATTCGATGCAAAACTGTATGTTGAAATGTACCTGTATGCCAACACCTACACGAAGCCAGTCACACGAAAATGACTAACACTTAAAAGTATATACCAATAAATATATCAGCGAGTGTTTGAGTGATATGGCGGTCACTTATCTGTGACATCACTTTCAGGTCCTCTTCGTCACGGGCTTCTTCTTGAGCCAGTAACAGGGCATCACAGAAATCACGGATGTTATCTGTTACGAGAGCATAATGAACAGAACGATTGACATTGGCACACATAAAAACTGTTCCTACAGCCATGTGCAATTTCACATGGCTACTCTCAAACAAACAGGGTAATATGTCGCATGCCAGTGACTCAAGGAACTCATTCAAGTGGATGAACCAACACGCAATCTTCGATCTGGATACAAATTACAGCTGTCAGTTCCAGTTACGAAAATCAACATTTTCTCTGGAAATATTTCTTAAAAATGAAAAGAAAATCTTTTTATGGAAGCCAAAGACGTTTTTTTAGTGCCACGGAACATACTGCGCTCTATAAAAATTATTATATTCATTATTATGATTATTATGATGATGATTATAATTATTATTTATTTATTTATTCTTATTATTATTTGTTTTTTATTCATTTTTTACAGATTAAAAGAAAATATGCAGCAAAGAGGGTTTAGGTGATCCTGACACAGTCAGGCTGGTTAGGCTCATCGTCAGCTCAGGGACATTGCCCCCTCTGCACTCATCCCAGACAGCGAATGGAGCTTTTCCCAGAAAGCGCTGCCAAGTCAAACCCACCCAACTTTTCGGAGAATGTGAAGACTCCTAAACACTGCAGCCTCCTGAATTACCCAGATTGTCAGAAGGGCTATATTCCTGGCAGAAAACCCGGGTACTCTGCCAATGTCAGTCAACAGATTTGGAGGTACCAAGCCTAGGCTTCGAGAACAATGGGTTGTCGGATAACTTGGTACTTGGGATGCAAGTGTGCCATTTCGAAAGCGATGTCCGCATATTTGCCATGTTTTTCAAGAATCTTGTCAATCGCATTAGTGTCATAAGGGACAAAGTGTTTTGTGTGAAATTGTTGATAACTACTATAATACAGGATTGACCCGAAAGCGAACTGATAAAACAGTTTGCACCTTTTGACATGGTCTGTCGATGTTTGTCAATTTCTTCATTCACGTTACCAAAGAGTTTCTCCGAGTCTTTTATTACAGTTTCCAGCTTCTGAGTATGGAAGAGACGGAGAGGGGGGATTACGTCCTCAAGAAAGCCGTTGCCGATGTCCAGGGAGGAATTCAAAAAGTACAACATCTGTTTGAAGTAGTTGTCGTGAACGTCGCATCTGAAAATGTGGGTTGGGTTCATTCCACTTCTGACAGTACCATGGCGTGTGTATATATATACACCATAGTGATAAAAAAAAATCCACATGAACACATGTGGTGCTGCCTGACATTAATTCGACGTTTGACTTACCAGTAACTCGAACGGTTATAGCAACAGGACGTGTGATTGTGGTTTAATGCTGCTTAGAACCGTATTTCAGTACATAACAGCGTGTGAGGTTCGTGTTGGAGGCAAGCCCGAAGAGAAGTGGCCAAGCCAACGAGTACGGTTATGGTGCTTACAACCGAGAAACCAGGTTCCTGGCACACATAAGAGCATGCAATGCAACTCTGTATCATAGACGGTAGAAATGCGGGAGAAAGGAAAACACATCAGTAGATTACAATAACACATTACATTATTACATCATTGAGTCCCTCTATTATATCCCGACATGGTTGATTGTGAAAAAGGATATCAGAAACATAAAATGGATTCAGGTATTCAGAACAAATTATCTGAACCTAGTACTCTTTCCATATATCCTTGCATCAGTCAATCCTGCTTCTTACACATCTCTCCTAAGGATTCTATTCAATGTCTTTATTGTCTTACGTCTTATGTTAGAAGATTGGAAATATTTCCTCTTACGTGACACTGAAGCAGATATTGTTGATGATGTTGAACACAATGAGAGAGACAACGTGATGAGGGTTGAATGGCCCTTTCATCTCCTGTATCAGCTCTATGCCTTTAGTGAGGGAGCGCTCTATCCCTTCGTCAAGGTGAGTGCCCGTCATGTAGTGTCTGTGCAATGAGAGAGAACATCTTCATATGATCAGAGCAAGTGAAATATAATTCAAAGTTAAATCGGCAATATTTCAACCATAGAGAGACGAGACAAACTTTTACGTTAAATCTATGACGTTAGGCGCATGCTTTCAGGGGAATGTAATTAAAATATTGACAACAATAGTTAATAAAATGTAAATATTGCTCCTTCTCCGCACAGAAGCTATCCACTAACAATCACCTATAGCTGTGTTGCTCTATTGAAAAGGGAGGGGGGAGTGCTTTGATAACTTTAACGAGTTTCTAAACCCATGATTAACACAACAGCGTCGTGAAGATCCAGGGTAGAATAGGTCTTCAGCAACCCATGCTTGCCGTAAAAGGCGACTATGCTTGTCGTAAGAGGCGACTAACGGGATGGGGTGTTCAGAATCGCTGACTTCGATGATACATGTCATCGTATCCCAATTGCGTGGATCGATGCTCAAGATGTCAACATTCGCAGCTATAATTTAGCACGTCGGAGATTTGATGTGAATATTTCCTTTAAATAAAATAGCTCACTTCAAATTTACGCTAAAATTTAGGACATTTCTGGTGACATTTTTGAAATTTCCCTTTGTTCAGTGAAGCCACGTTCGGCAAAACACATGAACATTAGCAGCTATAATGAAGCCCCTGTGAATTGACATATGATATGAATATTTCCTTTATATGAAATAGCTCACTTCAGTGCTTTGGTAGCCAGCTTTCTGTGTAGTTTCCAAGTAGGGCTGTAGTCTCCAAAGGCGATATTCCTACCTCCGTCGCTGAGAAGTTGTACTGGACAGAAACATTATAAACATGTAAGTGAGTCACCTGATATATGTACGAAACGATCGCATATTATTACAAATGACATAGGCACGCACCCTGCTCTATGTGAATCAATTGGTCATTCATTTTCTATATCACTTTTTACTGTGGCTGGAAGTATATAGAACACCTATGCATCTCGATAAAATTACCAAATTTGGATAAACGCAGCAGTTTCTTTTAATGACTCTACATGAAATGTTCTTCTTCAGTCAGCACCAATGGATCATCAAGCCAAAATGCCGATGACTACCAGATGTGCAGATCTTTAAACCACTTTGTCATACGATAATATTATATAAGCAGATTAAAGCAACTCATGTATGATATCGTTGAGTATGAAACGGTAAATCAACGGTGAATACTCAGTAATTAGCGCTAGGCCGAAACATAATATACATCGGTGTATGAAGCATATCGTGTGTGATACCGTGAGGATGAAATAATGATACAACAGTGAGTGCTGTCCGTATTTACATGAATAGATCTGGGGCCGCCCTGCAAAATCCGCCTGTCGTTTAACCAGTGCCTCCATTACAACGTCTATACTGTTCAGGGCCACCAATGTAAAAGGGCCTGTAACAAGAAAGCATTTATGTTTTACATCACACACACACACATATATATCTACAGATAGATAGATAGATAGATAGATAGATAGATAGATAGATAGATAGATAGATAGATAGATAGATAGATAGATAGATAGATAGATAGATAGATAGATAGATAGATAGATAGATAGATAGATAGATAAATAGATAGATAGATAAAAATCATGCCTTATATTTGAGTTATATGTTTACACCCGATACATTTATCCAGCCTTACGTATATAATATATAATCTGTTAAGGTTGATCAAAGAGGCACTTAAGAAATTCCCCCAAACAAATATTGCGAGTAAAGGACATGATAAACCATTTTGCAACACATGCTATACTATTTGTAAAAAGAAATTAAATAAACGTGTCTTTCCACATGACAAAATATGCATGTATCCGTTAATATCCATGTATTTTACTCAGCGTCTATTATAGATATTCCGAGTGGCTCGGTGACTGACGTCTTTCTTGTGTTATACGAATGTAATTCAATATTGTCACGGTACATATACATTGTATTCTCAACCACAAATTCTTCTTTTCCTGTTCTTTTGAATTTCGTATCCTCCATTATCAAGTGTAATATATCTCCATACTATACATGATAAACGCCTTTTACCCATTCGTCTCCATAGATGCCTATCGGAAGTGACTTCACCATCCCCATCTTAATCTCTTTCATCATTTTCTCTTGCTCATAAGTGTACTGTAATTGGACTGGACATTCGCATCGGGGTCAAACAAAGCTATGGAAGCAGGGTCCAGGCTATATCTTATGATTAAATGGAGATTTAATAAACTGGACACAGGAAGATGGGATTTGTAGCTTATGAAACATTTCAGTTTCCAAAAAAAATTAAACGTTAATAAGTATCAGTGACATGCAACTGTTTACATACCCATATTACACCTCACAACAGGACCATACTGAGCTGTCCACTCCGTCATCTTCTCGTAGATAGTTTCATTCCGGAACTCTGTAGTTGTATTAACTTCGTACTCAGTGCAATACACTGATGACATATATATATTTTTTGGAAGATACAAATTGGTCGATTCCTGCCATAAATAAGGATGGCAAGTAGTGTGTATATCTGTACAGATACATTATAGTATTAAGGGATCAAAATAATAATACAACTACATCCTTAATGTTTGTTAACAACATGATCATTATTAAAAGTTTAAAAAAGACATTAGACCCATATGATACCCCCGCATAAGTTAACAGAATGTCATATCGTTTAACTTACCGAGCAAATTCCCAAATAACGGCCATCCTCGGGGACCAGGGGGTAGCTTGTACCTCTTCTTGGTGATCAGATAAGTGGTTATTCCGACGCCTAACCCCACAAGGACAGCCCGGCCGGCGAGGCTGGAAGGCAACCATTCTTCCCATTCTTTGATCAAGTCCAGGAGCTGCTCCATGTAGGGCAGCCTCTGTAGCCACTCCATGTCCAGCGTCATCTATCTGTAAGGCAAGTACCCACAGGCATCAAGACATTCATGAAGTGTCTACAACATTGTTTGTCTTTCTGGAAGTATAACGTAAAATCCGATGTATACATAAAATAAAGGCAAAAACAAACATGTTGAAGTGAATTCTTATAAATAAATACGTCAACGACTAAAACGCCACAGGCTGCTGATAATTTACACAAAAACACTGAAGACAACGAAAAGGAATCAGTGACAATGTTCACATGCAACACATGGCCCAATCTGTATCTGAGTCAACCATGAAAAAGTATAGTCAGATAGTAGGCGTGACCAATAGGTTTATGGAGACATAAACGAAGCACAAATATCTTGACTGGCCAATCAAATCCCACGGGATCGCTTAAACTATATGTATTACAACATACACGACCTTAAGGCACCGCTACCTCAAGCCAAGACAATAGACCACGTACACCAGGACACACTCTTTATGGGGGGACAATCCACATCCACGAGAGAGCATCCGCCTTCCTAACCGGACAATATATCACCCCACAAATTTACTCACATGGCTGCTATTCACACAGTGGCAGATATAGGTCATAGTTATTGACCTTTCTCCACTGGCTCTATAGCGTATAGCTTCATGTTGTACGTTCCTTTTGATTAAAGCTGCGGTTGGAATAATGTTACTAAAAGCAGTGTATCAGGAATGAAAGGTTTTTTCTAGACTATATATAGAGAATCGCACCCGAGTGTCTTTTGATATCAAATATATCAACACGAGTTGATAAAAGTGGAAAAATTCCGAGGCTTGCCGAGGATTTTTGCCACTTTTATCAACGAGTGTTGATATATTTGATATCAAAAGACACGAGGGTGAGATTTTATTTATCATCCAACATCATTCTTTCAACTTTTCCAATTTGTAGACAGTAATTAGCAGTGTCTTCAGTGTAAAAAGTACTGCAAACAGCTTCAGTAGCAGAGCCATTAGTGATGCCATTTGATTGTGACGTCATGGTAACCAGTGACGTCACAATGGTATGCAAAGCATTGTGATGTAATTTCATTGCAGCGATATCTACAGTGTAGATATCGCTTGATCTCATCCCAGCGATATCTCCTGTGGGAGCCAGTTTTGGATGATAAATATATCATAGAGCACCGAGTATCGATGTATAAGGATATTGAACGTTTCATGTCTCATAGTTCTATAGGTAGTTAGTTAGCCACATTTAAAAAAATGTGATATTGGGTTAAAAGTCGACGTTACTGGAACAACCACTGTCATGTTGGCCAATATTTACAGCCTAGCTGTATGAACCATTTCACCTCGGTAGAGATCTGCGATAAAAAGACCACTCTGATCTAGTTACCTTCAACCATAGCACTGCCTGGAGATGCTCTGGCGTTTCTAAAGCACAAGCTAACTCTGCCCCATGGGTCATGAACCCTGACCCAGAAATACGCAGCTTAAGTGTACAAAATGACAAACGTTTCCACAAACAGGTGTATAATAGCACCGTGTTGGAGTTAATTAACTATGGGTATCAGGCTGCAGCGTTACTACGGAGAATTTTACCTTGTAATAGTGAACCGGTGAGGCGACCGACTGTTTGCTGCCTGCCCTGTGTGCGAACGAACGTAAACAAACACAGCCACAGAGGGTCTACACGGTTCACAACAACTTAGAGGGTGTCAATATGTGTACTATTTTGACGTAGAAATATAGTTCATGTCTTATTATGTTGTATACATGTGAATATGATTATCATTTGTTGGAGTTTAATGTTATTTGAAAATACAGTTTAGTTCTACGTATTAACAATAACATTAAAAATGTACACTATCAAGAAAAGAAACACACTGGTAGATCTTTAGTTAATTTATTATTCCAAATAAAGTCGATATATTTAATTTAATATCATAGATACAAATATGAAATTTTGGAGCTCGATAGTCACATGTCGTCGTTGTAAAAATGCATTGAAAACTGTTCATTATCATGTCACAAAAGGCAACGAGGTGGCGCTAAACGCAGTATTTCGTGTTACCGCACCGGGCAGCAATCACGGCTCTGCATCTGCTCGGCACTGACTGGATGAGTGTACGAATTCTGTCCTGCGGAAATCTGCGTCATTCTGCTTGTAACGCGTTGGCCAGTTGTTGTAGTGTCTGCGGCGTATTCTGACGTTGACGTACACGTCGATCGTGTTCATCCCAGAGTTGTTCGATTGGGTAGAGATCTGGAGATCTCGACGGCCAGGGCAAGTCGTTGATGTTGGCATTATGAAGGTAGTCTACCATGACACGAGCTGTGTGCGGTGGAGCGTTGTCCTGTTGAAACAGCCCCCTCTGGCGGTCAATGATAGGAAGAAGAATTTGATTCATGTAGCGATCTGCTGTCAAATTTGCCTGAACAACAACCAAATTCAGTCAAATTTTGACTTCCTGGAAACTAGCTAGCATGTCATTAAAAGATAAATTCAACATGTCCTCCTTTTCCGCTCACCGCGGTATCATATTCTCTCCGAGGATCTTCCCCATTGAGAAGCTTCGTATAATCCGTTTTGCATTTAAGTAGCACTGTTTCTTTATCTCTGCAGATTGAGCCATCTCCATTGGAATTTTCTTTTGTCGCTCACTCCCCACTCCTACTTTTCCTATGGAATTCATTTTGGTTACCATCATACATCTTCTCAAGTTCCCTGTGCAAGTTATTTCGATACTGCTTTTTACACTCCTGAACACACCGATCGAACTGCTTCCGATGATTGATATAGACAGTCTAAAAAAGCTTCTGTTCAGAGCCAATAGTCCCTCTCTGCGTCTTTTCAGCAGCACACTTTTTATTCCTCATTTCTGTCAGGTCATCGTTCCACTACGGTTGATTACACTTTCTCTTTCGTTTTCTCCCTTCGGAGATCACATTTCTCTGAGCTGGAAGTTCTTTTTGCATTTCGCTATGAATAATGCTCACACAATGGTTGTACGCACTGTCAATATCGCATGAAGAAATGTTACATTAAATGGGGTGTCAGTTTGTTAGCTTGAGTGAGTGAGTGAGTGAGTGAGTGAGTGAGTTTGGTTTTACGCCGCTTTTAGCAATATACCAGCAATATCACGGCGGGGGACACCAGAAATGGGCTTCACACATTGTACCCATGTCGGGAATCGAACCCGGGTCTTCGGCGTGACGAGCGAACGCTTTAACCACTAGGCTACCAGACCGCCCCTGTTAGCTTGAAGGTGAAGGTACATCTTATCTATGCGTCATCGATTACTTGGGAAGGCAAAATGTACATATCCTTTGCTCACATGGATTTGTTCTCATTGGCCTGTATATTTTGGCAGTTTACGATTACTGGTTTAAAATCAGCAAAAATAAATATTTCTCTAAGTATGGAGAGTGATTAACATCCGCCACCCAAAGTGATTTCTGTAGGTGATATAGAAACAGACAATGTTCGTCCATCACTTTTCCGGTACTTACCCTATACACCAATCAATATCTCTTCATTAAACTTATTTATACACATTAGACATGCACTGGACTGGCACCTTTGGCTATCAAGGGAATTTACAGGGAGTTTTTCATATTGCTTTTCCAGGTTTATGAGTGTAGGGACGATCGTTTCTGGAGCATACCTCATAAACTGTTTACCAAAGGCAAATTATTACGTGGACATGTTAAGTAATGCCTAGAATCACTTAAGTCCATCTCCAAATCCACAAACGAAAATTCATCGACGAATGAAACGCTAGAAAGTCATATCACAAGATTTCATCTTAGACATCTTAGACACTATGGTTTGAATGCTCATCACAGTATTAACGATATAGAGGCCTTTCAATTATTGCAATCACTGCAATGACAAACTCCCGTCAAGGTTATTGCGCTTATATAGCACCCTTCATATCCGTGTGTGTATATGTGGCTGCTTGTACTAATCGGGACTAACGCTGATTTCATAGTGTAGGCCCATTGAGATACTTTGCCACAGTTTAACATGAACACCTCACACAGTATACTGACTCCGAATCGACAGTCCTTGTTTATATCCCCTTAAGGTCCAGCTCCAGACGGAGGCACGGGTGGCCCAGTCGTGTAAGGTGCCGCAATTCGCTGTGCAGAGTTGCGTCCCTTGGGCACGCCAGAAACCTATGATTGTGGGCTCGAATCCCGGATCGCCCTGGTTAAGTTTCTAGGTTTGTCAGCACCATACCCGTGCTCGTGGGTTTCAACGAAGTGGTAAACATCTCGAAGTGGTAAACGTCTGATTAAGACCTGCATCACTTCGGGCTTTCCTCCCACATTAAGCTGACACGCCGGGATATGACTGGAATACTGTTAAGAGCGGCGCTAACCCCAACTCACTCACTCCAGCTCTAGACAGGCAACAAGTACCATCTGTTAATATCTTTTGGTATAACGCGGCTTTCCCACTAGATCACGGAGGCGGTCTAGAAACTCGTGAGGGGGTTAAATGTCTTTTAATTGAATGATCGGGACTCAATCAGATCAGGCTAAAGTTAAGGAAGTGCAGTTCTCTCCATATACACATATCATTTGGATACGCCATACACAGTGCCAGCTGTATGGCGGTGATGTGCTTCAAAGTAACTCTTGGCATCAAATCTCAGATAGCTTACTAAAAACCGTATGATTACCCCACAATCCCAAAACAGGACAAAAAACTACAAACCTTTATTCCGAATTAAAAGGTCATGCGGCTCTGATTACAACGGTGTGTTAGCTGAAGTTCAAAGTCTCATAAAAACAGTAAAGTACAGGAAACGAAGATGTGTTTTCGTGATATTCACTTTAAAACATGTGCATGTTTTGTGTTATTAAAAGCGTGATATTTAGATTTTGATGGAAGATGGTAATCATATGATTGGATAATTGTAAAAACGTCAACACCAAAGAATAAGAAGTCTGCTAAAACAGATTCCATACGTTATTAAAGGCAAAATAGTGTTAATTATTATAGGAATTGATCACTGAAAGTCTATTTTTAAGTCTGTACGAAGTGGTCAATATTTCCACATTCATGGGGCCATCCATGCACATGACATCGTCTCGTAATGAGCAGCAACATCACATGTGAAACACAGTTGTTATTTTTATTGTCATCTGGACATGGTAATAGGGGCCCCTGTTTATCTAATTTGTTCCATTCGAATGATCCTTTCCTTATAATTCTGCAGCAGTTACATGTTAAATTAGTTGCACAAAAAGGACAACCGATCCATGTGATTAGTAGAATGTCATAAAACGTCAAAAATTAAACTAAATATATATCTGTTAATAAACAAAAGAGTGGTCATCTATTTTACAGGTCGGATCATTTTTGTAAGTGCCATGGATCCCTTAAAACTTGATTAATGAGGATCTGATTGTCCGATTTCATGGAGCATATTGCAAACCTCAACACAAAACTGCATTCACTCATTAGAGACGATCCACTCTGATTTAAATGTCTGGAATACATATGTATACCATGCAAAGCAATACTCTCATAGAAAAACTATAATTTGTTTGTGATATTACAGTAGGTTCGAGGCCATTTCCTCACATATCACTCCCCATGGTAATATGAGTTACAGTCTCGATTCAAAACTGAGTTCATAATCGTGTGGTACGTTTACAAAAGATCCTCCACGTGGCTCAAGGTTCACCTTAGCTCCAGGTGGGAGGGACACTTTGAAATGCCTCATGATTCCAGCCAGCAGAAGATGCAGTTCTGGCTTGGCCACGCTCTCTCTGAGACACACTCTTCTTCCAGCGGAGAACGGAAGCCAGCTCTCTGGTTTGGTAGCCACCTTGCCCTCATGGTCAAGGAACCGGTCTGGATTGTATACTTGCGGGTCACGCCACTGTTCTGGGTCCCTGTGCAGACCATAGTGGTTGATGAGGACGGTGGTTCCTCTGGGAATGTCATAGCCACCTGAAAATGTAATGATTGAACTACGTTAATATGCATTGATAACCAACAACCACTATAATAATGTATAGCTTGTGTTTTCCTAAGATTTCACACGTAAACCATTCATAAATATAAAAGACGAAATGGAAATAATGATAATACAAATATAGATAGATCCCACCTCTCTGCCGCTTCCCTCGGTTGATAACATTTACCAATTATAATGGTAGGGCGTGGTTTGATTAAAGTGGAGACTGTTCAATACAGAATTTTATTGTACACTTTCGCACACATTCATTTATCTGAATCTAGTGTATGTGCAGTGTCCAGTTTTTCGCTTGCTTAAAGTCTCGTACCACTCGAAACTGTCAATATTACATTTGCCTCAAAATGTAAATATGAAATGTAGATTATGTAATGAATTTAATGAGACTGTCCAACACATTGTCAGTGGATGCCTACCTGTAGCACAAACAAAGTATCTTAAGCGACATGATGGAGCTGTTCATTCTTTTATTACTGACTTCACCTTATGGGTTTGACTCCATCCATTGTACGAATATGTGGAGGGCGTCAAGGAAAATTATAATTTTGGAATGGGTCCGTGTATAGCCTCAGACAAATCCAGGCCAACAAACCTGACCTTGTACTTTTGTTCTATATCCACTTAAATCATTTACATTCAAGGAATCTTCTGTCCCTTTTGACACTTATGTGATGAACACAATTCGGGAAGAACATAGCAAATATGCCGACCTCGCTTACGAATTGTCAGGCATCCAAAGTACCATTGTTCTTGGTGTCTTTGGTTTGGCATCTCCCAATATGTTGAATGACAATGAGTTTGCGAAAATTACAGCCCTTCTGACAATCTGGGTAATAATGCAAAAGGCTGCAGTGTTGGAGAGTCTTCACATTCTCCAAAATGTTCCGGTGAGTTCGACTTGGCCGCGTTTCCTGGGAGAAGTCACATTCACTGTCTGGGACGCGTGTAGAGATGGCAAGGGTCTGACCTGATGATCAGCCTAACCAACCTGACTGTTTTTATTTTAATCTGTATTATGATAATAATTATAACAATATATGTACACCCACCACTGTCGACACCCATCAACACAGACCCCCCCCCCCCCCCCCCCCCCCCCAGCCTCAGAAGGTCAAAACATTTAGAAGCGTGGGCAGCTTGTCAGTTTGAGACGGGACCTCTTAAGGACTCCTGCTGCTATGAATATGTATTTATTGTGCAACTCGAATTGTCGTGTACCGGGAGTCCCTTTAAAACATATTTTAAGTTAGTCTATTGCAAAAATAAGATGATGAAGATTCATGGACTAAAAATCAAATTGTTAAATTGAACGTGTGATAAGGCAACAAAAAAGTGCAATAATTCGAAGTTAGCTTGCGGTATACGCGAATGAGAGCGGTGCCATAACATTCTCTTCTTTTACATATCATTCTTTTAACTATGATGTCCAATATAAAATGTGTGGAATGTCGCTGCACTGAAGAAATAGAGGGAATTACTTTAAGGCAGTCATTTGCTTAAACAATAGCAACCTAACAAAGAGAACTTTTTATGTTTTCTTATAGATTAACTTCTTAGCCGCATGTTTTTAAACTACTGTAATTGCTATTACGAATACTTTGATACAAAAGTGTAAAGACGATTGGGTGGATTACCCTGTATGTTACTATAGTAAAGGGTAAAATGGTGAGAAATTTAATTAGTGCCCCCAGAGCAATAAAATGAATATCAACACCGTTCCTTGTTCCTTACTCAGAATAATGATCAGTGGGCATCTTTGAAAGGAGACTTACCGACTTTCGTATCACACAGAGTTTTGTGGGGAATTCCGCTTGGTGCCACGGTGTGTAATCGCATACTCTCGTGAAGCACAGCGTCAGTGTAAGGGAGATCACTCCTGTCTGATACACTGGGGAAATGACACCCACCTGCACAATCACAAATGTATATTATTTACTAGAATAATATAAAGATTATCTCTACCCTGATATCCCTTTGTACGTAAAATAAACCCCGGGGCGAAAGTGTCACCAACATACATATGTCATCTTACAGCAACGTCATCACTTTATCATATTATATCATTATGTATAAATGTATACCCAGTTATAAGCCATTGGGCTGAACCCTTAATCACAACTGGTAAATATAAATACTTAACACACCAACACTTCACTTTATCTTACATATCTAAGTATAGGTTCATGGGTCACTGACCTTGCACCACATTAATACAACATCATCCACAGAACAGGGCCGACGTGGTCAGACAGGGAGACCCTCTCTGACTCATCGCATCAGCGTATGAACATATCACAGTGTTTTATCACACCGTATCATAATATCACCGTATTATAATATCAGAACTTACCCAGGGCACGTCCTTGATGTCAGGATGCTGAGCCAGGTCCAGAAGCGTCCACAGCAGCGTAAAGCGAGATGTGTCCATCCCGGCTGCAGGGATACAGTATAAACACTTAACCTATATCATTAAGGAAATGAATAAGGAAGTACAAGATCTGAAATTCATCACCAAACGTAACTCACTACCGCAACGTTTAATACCAGAGAAAAGTCAAACTTGGTGGCACGTGGTCTTGTGCACAGGTCATAAATAAGGTAAAATTAAGCACTTGCAACGAAGGTCGCGGAGACTCAGTCAGGGCCTCTGCCCATCCCTTACACCTTAAATTGTGTGTTCACCCTGCTTTCTATTCAGTCTTAGGGATGATTTTGAAAAAGTATTAACTTATTCCAGAACATGTACGTGAAAACAACTTTACCACAGGTGTTACAGTACACCAAAACATCTCTTCGCCAGACATGCTCAGTTTCCTGAAAAAATTGTGTTGTGAAAAAAAGGATTTGGCTTCTCTTTTCAAAAATAAAATTGTGGCGCCGTAACAAACAAAACGGAAGGATAAAAAACAAAAAAACATCCCCTACCGAATCTTGAATGATCGGTCTCTTTCAAACCGACCTTTGTTTGGAGCATTTCTTTCGAGAGGGGAGTGCCAAAATGAGTTTTCCTATTCGATCCAAAACAGTTATGTTGAACTGTAACTGTATACCAGCATGTACACGAAGCCAGTCACACGAGAATGACTAATACTAAAAAGTATATACCAATAAATACATCAGCGAGTGTTGCGAGTGTTTGAGGGATATGGCGGTCACTCATCTGTGACATCACTTTCACGTCCTCTTCGTCACGGGCTTCTTCTTGAGCCAGTAACAGGGCATCACAGAAATCACGGATGTTATCTGTTATGAGAACATAATGAGTGAGTGAGTTAGTATGGTTTTACGCCGCTTTTAGCAATATTCCAGCAATATCACGGCGGGGGGACACCAGAAATGGGCTTCAAACATTGTACCCATGTCGGAATCGAGAACATAATGAACAGAACGATTGACATAGACACTCATAAATATTGTTCCCACAGCTATGTCGTTATCTAACAGACAGGGCAGTATATTGCATGATAGTGACTCTCTTTTGTAATTCAAAGAACTCATTCAAATGAATGAACAACCACGCAATCTTCGATCTGGATCCAAATTACAGCTGTCAGTTCCAATTATACGAAAATTAACATTTTCTCTTGGCACTGAAATATTTCGTAGAAATTTAAGAACATACTCTTTTTGCGGAGCAAATAATATTTCTGGGGTCACTGAACATACTACGCTCTATAAAAAGTATAATTATTATCATTTACTGATTAATTTTTTTTAAATGCAGCAAAGAGGGTTTGTGTGATCCTGGCGAATGGGACTTCTCCCAGGCAGCGCTGCCCACCCAGAACTTTCCGGAGAATGTGAAGACTCCCGCACACTGCAGCCTTCTGCATTACCCAGATTGACAGAAGGTTTGCTGGCCTGGATAGGCCTGGGGCTCTTTATGGGCCTATGCCAAAGAATTTGGTATTTATCATTTTCCATGACGAAGTCAACACATGTAATGCCATGGATGGACTTCTGTGTCAAAACCACAAGCATGGCGAAACGGTAATAAAATGATTGTTACGTGTCATCATGTCGCTTAAGATACTGTGTTTGTGCCAAAGGTGGGCATCCACTGACAATGCGCTGGACAGTCTCATGAAATTCATTGCATACTCAACATTTCATATTTATATTTTGATGCAAAATCACACATTGATTGTTTCTGGTGACTGGTCTTGGGCAGCAAAAAGAAAACCTTCTGTTTCACTTTTCAGGCAAGCCGACTTCATCCAAGCGAAGGACTCTGCAGGGTTGCTGATCTTATCAACGCACTGTACGTAAACTCGATGCAATGGTCGTTCAGATAGTCTCTCCCTGACAAAATCTGGGCCGATTTGATATGACACTTTGCTTGGATGACACATAATTCTGTATCTTTATTATTATAACTATTTGTAGTAGTAGTAGTAGTAGTAGTAGTAGTAGTAGTAGTAGTAGTAGTAGTAGTAGTAGTTGTAGTTATAATCAAACAGAACATTATGAAATCACCTTTCAGGGGTGTTTTGTGTAAAATTGTCGAGAACTATTATAGAACAGGAATGTCTCAAAAGCGAAAAAACAATTTGCACCTTAAGATATGGTCCGTCGATGTTTGTCAATTTCTTCTTTCAAGTTACCAAAGAACTTCTCGGTGTCCTTCATTAAGGTTTTCAGCTTCTGCGTATGGAAGAGACGGAGAGGGGGGATTACGTCCTCAAGAAAGCCGTTGCCGATGTTCAGGAAGGAATTCAAAAAGTACAACATCTCTTTGAAGTAGTTGTCGTGAACGTCGCATCTTAAATGTTGGTTGAGTTCATTCCACTACTGACAGTACCATGGCGTGCAATATAGAAGGAAGGCCCACAGTGATATAACTAAAATCCACAAGAACACGTTTGAAGCTGCCTGAAATCGATTAGACGTTTGGCTAACTTGTGACAGATCTCTGCTTTGCAAAAGAAGAGTGGGCTCATTGAATCGGACAGTTTGTTTTTTCTGAGAATGTATCAACGACCCCATCATAGAAGAGCAACCGAACGTGTGAGTCCAGTTAAATGCTGCTTGAAGCAGTATTTGATGTACTTAACAGCGTGTGAGGTTCGAGCTGGAGGCAAGGCCGAAGTGATGCATCGCTTATATGTATACCACTTTGGCGAAACCAACGCGCATGGTTATGGTGCTTACAACCAAGAAACCAGGTTCCTACCACACCTAAGAGCATTTCCGTCCTGAGGATTTAGCGTCCTCACCTCTCCATGCTAGAGAAAGGAAAACACGTTAGTATCTCATAACAATATCACATTTAGGTATTGCATCAAACAATACCGTCAATTATACCCAGACATAGTAGATTTCTCCTTCTATCCTATTTGAAAAAGGGAAGCAGAAACATATACTGGGTACAGGGATTCAGAACAAATTATCTTTACTGAGTAACCTTGCATGACTCACCCCTGCCTGTTACGTCTCTAGATCTCAATGTTACGAGTAGAAGATTGAAAGCTTTTCGATGGGTGTGGTGTTTACAAAATTTAAAAAAACGGTTTCTAGCCTGTCTGAGACATGCAACTCGTATGCGATTGTGCGTTCCTACTGCTCCAAAGCAAAACACATTAGAACCTTACAACCACATGTTGCGGTATTGTAGCCAGCACCCCACTCGGTTATCATGTAGACATGATGAGTTTTTCCTTATAATCCTTGTAAAAAGGGAAGCAGAAACATAAACTTTGTACAGGTATTCCGAGCAAGTTATCTTAACTTTGTAACTGTTCCGTAGATCCTTGCATGAGACATTCCAGCCTGTTACACTTGTGTTGAGGATTCATTTAATGCCATTATTACCAGAGGATTCAATTTTAGAAATCTGGACAATGTTCGCTTACGTGACACTGAAGCAGATATTGTTGATGATGTTGAACACAATGAGGGAGACAACGTGATGAGGATTGAATGGCCCCTTCATCTCCTGTATCAGCTCTGTGCCTTTAGTGAGGGAGCACTCTATCCCCTGGTCGAGGCGGGTGCCCGTCATGTAGTGTCTGTGCAAGGAGAGAGAACATACAGATATGATGAGAGCGAGTAATTGAATCGGCTGTATTTCAGCGATAGAGCGACGAGAACAACTTCTACGTTACATCTATGACATCAAACGCATGCAATCTGGGAAATTTAATAAAAATATTGACAACAATATTAATAAGATGTACATATTGCTCTTTCTCTGCACAGAAGCTATTCACTAACAAACACCTTCTATCTGTGCTGCTTAATTAAAACGGGAAAAGTGCTTTGTCCAAATGGTATTGCTTCAATACAACAGTCAACTTGTATAACGACACTGCATACACATGCATTGTTTGGAGAGCAGGGTGATCTCCTTACATAAAAATACTAAATGTTTCCGTTTGCTATTTTGTTCAAATCTCAGTACCTTTGCTCTGTTAAGTATGGAAAAACCCGTCTTCAACATCGGACATCGTATTTTACGAACTTTATCGGCGGATCAAATGTCGTTTACAGTGAATTCACGCAATATCACTACACAAGTGCTGCCTCAGTTGGGAGCAGAGCAAGCAGAGTGGACCAGAATGCTATGACGTTGACCATTTATTCATGCTGAAATCATCATTGGTTAACACAGCTGTGTCCTTACCCGGCTGTGTCGTTTCCTTTTAACTAGCAAGGATATAAACAACAAAACATATTTTCCTAAATTCAAAACTAGCAGAAAAGGGTACACTACAGTAATTATTAATGATAATTATTCTATACACTAAAATTTAGGACATTTCTTTTTTTTAAATTTCCCTTTGTTCAGTAAAGACATGTTCGGCAAAACACATGAATATTAGCAGCTATAATGAAGCACCTGTGAATTCAGACATGATATGAATATTTCCTTTATACGAAATAGCTCACGTCAATGCTTTCGTAGCCAGCTTTCTGTGTAGTTTCCAAGTAGGGCTGTAGTCTCCAAAGGTGATATTCCTCCCTCGTCGCTGAGAAGTTGTACTGGACAGAAACATAATTAAGTCAGTGTGCGTGCAAATAGTTTCTTTACGCTTTTCCTGATGCCTGATATATGAACAAAACGATCGACACTTAATTGATATACATTCATGTACTGCTAATACAAGACATAGGCACGCATCCTGCTCTACATGAATCAACTGGTCATTCGACTGGAGGTTTCTGGACTATTACTATATCGCTATTTACTGTGGCTGGACATATAATAGAACACCTATGTATCACGATAAAATTGCCAAATTCTGATAAACGCAGCGGGATTTTAAAAAAATGAAATGTTCTTGTTCAGTCAGCAGCAATGAATGTCAAGATTGTATTGACTGTTTGTCATCAAGCCAAAACGCCGTCCACTACCAGATGTACAGATCTCTAAAATAATTTGCATAACGATAATATTATATAGGCAGAATGAAGCAAATCGTGTGTGATATCGTTGTGTATGAAATAGTAAATCAACGGAGAATACTCAGTAATCAGCGCTAGGCCCAAACATAATATACCTAATATGATGTGTCTGCAAACTGTGTATTTACTCTCTTTTCCCTAATACATGATACATGTATGACAGGGCCGACTCTCTTATAAATATGTACCTCCATTACCAGTTACCAGGGCGCACATACTGCCATTTTTTTAAATATTTGGTTCGTTCAACTGAAGTGAGTGAGTGAGTGAATTGGGTATAACGCCGCTTTTAACAGTATTCCAGTTATATCGCGGCGTGCCAGCTTAATGTGGGAGGAAAGCCCGAAGTGATGCAGGTCTCAGACGTTTACCACTTTGGTGAAACCCACTAGCACAGGTATGGTGCTGACAGTTCAACTGAAGGGTTTGGTTATATGGATGTAGTTTTCGTAGATATGGCTCTATTTACAAAGCCAATGTTTTATGGTACATGATAAGAATGCCAAATTTGGATAAAACAAAAGATAAAAGTAGCAAGGTTATTTAAATGTCTCCTTTTGCATGAAATTGCAATGTGAAGACTTTATGGAATGTAAATGATCAAGCCAAAAGGTCCATCCCTGCCGATTATTCAAACAATTTGTGAAACGACAATATTATCTTGGCAGGGTGGAGCATATCGTGTGTGATACCGTGAGGATGAAATAATGATGAAACAGTGAGTGCTCTCCGTATTTACATTAATAGACCTGGGGCCGCCCTGCAAAGTCCGCCTGTCTTTTAACCAGTGCCTCCATCACAACGTTTATATTGTTGAGGGCAACCAATGACACAGGTCCTGTAACGTGAAAGCATTTGTTTCTTATATTCCACTGATAAATTCAAATCATGCCTTATATTTGAGTGATATGTTTGTATGATACCTCAATCCGGCCATATGAATACATAACCGGTGAAGATTGATAAAAGAAAAACACTTAATAAATTCCCCCAAACAAATATTGTGATTGAAGGAGATGATCACCCATGTTGCAATACATGCAATACAATTTGTATAATGAAATTGAATACACGTGTATTTCCATATGACAACAGAATAGGGATATTCTAAGCGTGCTGGTGAGAATTGAGTGGGACTGATTTCTTCTTCATGTTATCATACGATAATTTATAATTCGATATTGCCAGGGTGAATACAATTGCTTTTATCTTGATTTTGAGTTTCTAATCCTCCTCTATACAGTTTAATATATCTCAATCTATACACGACAAACACCCTTGACCCATTCGCCAGTACAGATCCCTCTCGGAAGAGACCTCATCATCCCAATTCTCTCACCACTGTCTCTCGCTAAGAATCCTGTGACTGAACTGGTCATTCGAATCGGGCTCAATGCAAAGCTATGGTAGGAGGGTCCAGGGTACATGTGAAGATGAAATGGAGGTATAAACAGTGGACATGAGAACATGAATTTGCAGCTAATGAAAATTTCAGTTTGCAAGCATTGATAAGCATCAGTGACATGCAACTGGTTACATACCCATATTAAACCTCACAACAGGACCATACCGAGCCTTCCATGCCGTCATCTTCTCGTAGATAGTTGCATTCCGGAACTCTGTAGTTATAATAAATTCTTACTCAGCACTGATGACATATATACCTTGCTTGTTGGAAGATACAAATTGGTCGTTTCCTGCCATATATAAGGATGTCATCCATTGTGTGTATCTGTAAAGTATTAAGCTATCAAAATAATTTTACAACTGCATCCTTAATGTTTGTTAAAAACATGATCGTTCATAAAAAGTCTTCGCACCGATATAATACCACTGTATACGTTGTACAGAAGATCAAATCGTTTAACTTGCCTAGCAGGTTCCCAAGCAACGGCCATCCTCGGGGTCCAGGGGGTAGCTTGTACTTCTTCTTGGTGATCAGATAAACGGCTACTCCGACGCCTAACCCACTAGAACAGCCCGGCCGGTTAGGCTAGAAGGCAACCATTCCTCCACTTTTTGATTAAGTCCAATAGCTGCTCAAGGTAGGGCAGCCTCTGTAGCCACTCCATGTCCAGCATTATCTACCTGTAAGGCAAGTACACACAGGCATCAAGACATTCAGGAAGTGTCTACAACATTGTTTGTCTTTCTGGACGTATAACGTACAATCCGATGTACACATACAATAAAGGCCAAAACAAACATGCTAAGGTGACCTATTGGTCACGCCTACTAAATGACGATACTTTTTCATGGTTGACTCAGATACAGTGTCCAAAAGATCCTTTGAGCAATTGACTCGTTCCTGCTTTTGGAAAGGTGTGAACAACCTGTGAATCCATCGTGCAGACACCTTATGCATTTTCAAATTGTCATGAATGATTTTTTTCCACAGACCCTACACTGATCTTGACATCTTGTGCTAACTGGCGAACAGTTATACGTCGGTCTGCCAAAATGGCGGTCTCCACTTGATTGATAGTGTCCTCATCAATGGCTGAATGGGGGCGACCAGGACGTGCAGCTGTTTCCACAGATGTCCGACCACACTTGAACTGGCGATGCCAGTGTTTAACAACGTCATATGATGGGGCATCTTCCCCATAAGTTGCTTTCATTTCATCGAAAGTTTCTTTTGGTGTGCGACCTTTCAAATATAAAAACCTAATCACTGCTCGGTATTCTACTGGCTGCATTGTCACACCCTACTCTATCATAACACCTGTAAAAGTGGTAAGATTAATAGTTCGGTGCTGCACATTCAGACATAACCCATAGATACATGTATCATTACACATGTGAAATTTCAACTAAATATGATAACCCTAAGTGGTTTATGTGAAATCTTTAATGAACACCCCTCGTATTATCTCCTACGTAGGACGTAGGATACTAAGTCCTACGTAGGAAATAGTTATTCTAGTCCATACTTAGTCCTACGTAGGAGATAGTAAGTCCTACGTAGGGGATAGTAAGGCCTACGTAGGAGATAGTAAGTCCTACGTAGGAGATAGTAAGGCCTACGTAGGAGATAGTAAGTCCTACGTTGGAGATAATAAGTCCTACGTAGGGGATATGAAGTCCTACGTAGGAGATAGTGATTCTAGGCCATACAAAGTCCTACGTAGGATATAGTGATTCTAGGCCATACTAAGTCCTACGTTGGAGATAGTAAGTCCTACGTAGGGGATAGTAGACAAAAAAAGATTTCACCGTGGCCCTACTGCGCTTCCGTGTCAATATGTGTGCTATATTGTCGTAGAAATATATTTCGCATGTCTTATTATTATATTTGCTCATGTTAATATCATTACCATGTGTTGGAGTTTAATGTAATTTGAGAACAAGGTGTTCAGTTCAGTTCTACGTGTTAAGAGTGACACTTAAAATGTACAATGCGGTGAGATGAGGTGATATGGGGTAGGTTCAGTGGAAAAAAACACAGCTCATAATTTTGTGTGAATAAAAACTCTGCCTTACATCTGCTTGAAAAAATATAATTAAGGCTCAATACAAAGTATCGACTGCAATATGTTCACCCTAGTCAATACAGAACAAACGTAATACAATAAATATATATATATTTGAGCCTTTGGTCATTTTGATTATGACATTGATCACTTTCACTTGGAGAAAGTTCCAATATCAAAATGACATCATTCCGACTGTCAACTCGAATCGACAAGATGGCGCCTCTTGCAAGTGCAACAGAAACTGTGGGATTCTGTACTGATTCCTGGGATTAGTGGATCAGCGTCACAGCCAGATGTTATTGTGGAACCAGATAAATGCGAACATGTCTGTTAGCGCTGGTTTTGTCAACCATGTGGGACACAGCACAGGCAATCGCAGTTGGGGAATAGTGTGGTCACATGTTGAAGAAATTCGCCGATTCGATAACAATGCTACAAAGACTTTTGGACTGAAGTAAACAGACGGAAGTGTTTGGAGATATCCTAAATACGTGGACTTGAAGAAACGGATATTATACGAAGCAAGTAGGTAGGCAGGTAGGTAGGTAGGTAGGTACAAATAGGATGATAGGTAGGTACATATAAGAATGTAGGTAGGTAGGTAGGTAGGTAGGTAGGTAGGTAGGTAGGTAGGTAGGTAGGTAGGTAGGTAGGTAGGTAGGTAGGGTGGGTGGGTGGGTGGTTAGGTAGGTAGGTAGGTAGGTAGGTAGGTAGGTGCATATAGGAAGGTAGGTAGGTACAAATAGGCAGGTGGGTAGGTAGGTAGGTACATGTAGGTAGGTAGATAGATAGAATGTAGGCACGTAGGTAGGTGGATAGAAACATATAGATACTTAGGTAGGAAGGTTAGGAAGGCATGTAGGTAGTTTGTAGGTAGGCATGTAGGTAGGTAGATAGACAGGTAGAATATAGGCACGTAGGTAGGTAGGTAGGTGCATATAGATAGTTAGGTAGGTACAATGAAGGTAGGTAGGTAGGTAGGTAGGTCGGTTTACAAGCACCTGAAGCATTAAGGTCATTGCCTTCAGCACGTGTTGGTTCCCACTGCAGTGGCCAATCCTGTGTTAGATACAATACCTAAAATTTGGCCCAAAGAACGATCCAAATAGATCGTTTATAAAAGATGGTCATTTGTATCAGAACTATGTACGGCATATCGCATAAATTATCAACCTATAAGCTGAGTACTTATGGATCCACTACCTGTATTCTGGAGGAAATAGCGGGTTGTGTTATAGACTTGTTTTTGTTGTGTTTCCCTGCGTTATGGGATGAGTGGGTGTGTCAGTATAGTATTACGCCGCTTTTAGCAACATTCCAGCAAAATCACGGCGAGGGACACCTGAAATGGGATTCACACATTCTACCCATGTCGGGAATCAAACCCGGGTCTTCAGAGTAACGAGCGAACGCTTTAACCACTAGGCTACCCGACCGCCCCATTTATGGGATGAAAGGTCTTTACGTTGTGTGACGTAAAATATTAACCAACACGATGTGCAGAGACATCTGAACAAATTAATCCAATACGAACGAAAGTAATATATACATATCATTATATATATTTATTATGACCATATATTTAAATATATCATATATATAGAATACTAAACGAGCTCCCGTGTAATACCAATTTTATGAAACGAGTGAATAGTTCTGGTATCTGACGAGCGAAAGCGAGTCAGATACCACAACTATTCACGAGTTTCATAAAATTGGTTTAACACGAGAGCGAGTTTAGTATTTTATTTATTACTTGTCATTTATAATGTTTTTAGAATTATACTGTTGAGTGTAAATAGGCTGACACCTACACGATCCATGGCATAATCCTATTGAGTTTAACACAATAATACTTCAAACATGTCAAAAGTTGAAACGTATGAATTTAATATCATACAATGGTCCACCTTTAGAATTCAGGCGTTCGTCCGACAAAATTATCGTAGTGCTAAGGCTATCACAACTCACATAATTTAACTTAGACTAACGACTGCCGTTGCGCTAGAGTACGATCGCCTTGTGGAACGGGGCCTTGCACCTCAAAGTTTACAATCACGTCACAATACCCAATGACGTAATTTGTTGAATTTTGTTGCAAGTTCCATCGGCGAAACAATGCCATGTGACGTCAGCCTAGCAACAAGGTTGCTGGGGTCATCGTGTGTGCATAAGCTCCTCCCAGTGATCTATCATCTCCACACACAATGTCGTTGAATACGCCGAGGGATGTTGAGAGCTTTCAATATTTGTTCGTGAAACGTGTTCCGAGAGTACATAAGCACGCGTTTTGGTATTACACAATGTGTAATAAAGCTGTATGTTTATTAAACGGGTGATCTCTTCACGGGCAAGTAATAAATCTCATTAAACAGACAAAATGGCGAATTGTTGGTACGATAGATGGGGGATTGACTGAAAAAAATTGATTTCTTGACTGAGACCGACAAGATACGTCAAACGGATAGGCTTGCAATGACACCTTGGCACTAAGATAAGATCGTCTTATTACATTAATTGCACCACGCAAGAGATTCAGATCTGCTCCTATTGTCAATAGTGAATACCGTACAATAACAAGGAGTCGGAGTTCAACATATAGCGTTAAATACTGGCTGTGTACAGCCCGTTACCATTGGTGACAAAGGTTTGACTTGGCCATGCAACACCAAGGGAAGGGCTGTGTGACGTAACATCGTGTTTACAGACGAATCAAGGTTTTGCCTCCTATATCACTGTTGACAAAAGTCGTTTGTTGACGACGTAGCGGCGAACGGTATGCCATGACAACAGCTCTTGAACACGATATGTTCGGGGGCGGTAGTGTCGTGGTGTGGGCTGTATCACACAGGTGAACTGATTTGGATATTGTGAATCTGTTGACCAAAGTTTGCGTCCTGTCGTTGTTCAACTCATTAAGAGTATCGCAGATTTTTGTCAAGCAACATCGTGCCCCGGTCGTCACCGATTAAGTCCCCTGACATATCTCCAATAGAGCATCTGTGAGACCCAGCACCCTCCAACGTGGGCCAACGTGCTCTTCAGGCGGAATGGCGGGCAGTCAAAAGGGCAATCATACGCAAGTTAATCAACAGTATGCCATCAAGGTGTTGTGCATGGTGGACACGCCAGACATTGATCTATACGCCAGAAATTTATTTCACAGACATGTATCGACATTACACTTTCACCATCATTGTATCACTTCATCACTTCATCATCGGTTTTTTTTTGTGTCGGTAGTATATTTGAGCTCGGGACAACATACCTACATACAATAAACAGTATGTCGGTAACAGTGCCGAATCGTGATGCCTTATCTCTCTCTCGTTATGCTGTCTTTGGGACGACTAAACATTGGACTAGAACCATGTAATCTCAGCCCCAGAAAAAAGATAAATCACGTGACACATGTAAATGTATAAGTACCACGAGCCCTTCAGATGAGTTTCCAACTATCTCATCCACTATGAAGGCTGTGTGTCTACTTCTCCTCGTTTCTGTCCTGCTCGTCGGAGCAGCCTTTGTCGGTGAGTCTTGACATCTCCATAACTTCAATTGGGTTAGTAAGAGGATGGATTGGCAAGAGATCGGTATTATAATAGACTGGCGTGGGAAGAGGCAGAGTTGATAAGGCTCTGGTTTGGTAAGGGGCCTGGTTTGTATGGGGGCTGAGTTGGTGTGGGTCTGAGTTCGCAAGAGGCGGATTTTGTAAGGGGTCGGGTTGGTATGGGGCCGAGTTGGTAATATACCTAGTTGGTTTGTGGTTGAACTGCTAATATATAAAGGTGGTAAGAGGTCGAGTTGTAAGAGACCGATTTGGTAGGCCTAAGAGTTGGTAAGGTGTCGAAATGGTAAGAGACCGATTTGACCGGGTACCTCGCGGAGCCTCCTGTTGGTGCCTGGTACGATGTAGATGATGGCGTGTGTTTTATATGCAAAGGAACCGTCAACCGTCAAAGTTGAACAGCCATTGAATCTACAAACTGTCAAAGTGTTTAAGTTTCTTAGTTCTTATTGTATATTGTACGACTTCCCTCAGGCCTGTATCATTTATGCCTTAACGTGTAAAACGGCTGAACTTTATAGCTAAAATGTCATAGAGAATCGAAACGTATTGATAAGGGGATGGCTGGGTGTAAGATTGGGGCGGTCATGTAAGATAGGGTGAGGACTGATACAAACCATTCTGAATGACAATAAATCCAATACTCAACCATATCTAGTTATAATAAATGCCAAAAGATCAGATAACCTCAACTTGCTTTATCAACAAACGCTGTTATGTGAATAATGGGGTAATCACTTATGGAATTTAAACTTCCGGGCAAAAGAAAGTATACACACAAGTTTAAGATGACTAAATGAAACCATCAAGAAACGGTTATTCAATGGTGTATGAGTATGGTTTTACGCCGTTTTCAGCTATATTCCAGCAATATTACGGCGGTATTCAATGGTGATGTATTTGATACGGGTATCAAAGTTGTGTTTTGGATCATACCCTTTTCAGTGTTTCGGAGGCTGTTTTTATAACGTTTGTAATTCTTTTCAAAACAGCAGTTTTGTAGATTTGTAGTACAGTCAAATATGCATGATAGGCGACGTCCTCATAAGTACAGTTTGTTGACTATAAGGAGTATCGTTATAGTTTAGTGGATGGTGTGTCACTGTCACTTACAGGCCCTGAGTAGGACCTTTCTTGATATTCCAATCGTTAACAATATTTGGAGGAGCTCTGTAGAAATTGAACACTCGTTCTTGCACATACACACCTCGTGTCATCTTTCGTTGTAGCCGACGCCCAAGTGTGCAACGGCGAATGTCATAACAACAGCGACTGTAACCACTGCCACGGCTGCAGCTTCCATTGTGACAAGGGTCACAACGACGTCGTTGGACATTGTAAATGTCACTAGTAAGTAATATTCAACACATGGTTCTAGAATTGCGATTTTCGACAAAGATGGAAATTACCCCGAATATTTCATTTACTCGCAAACGTTCATTGATTTGCCTCTCTGTGTATCACCTTTGATTGAATCTTACGAATGTTATGTGTATTACTATTTTGTCCTTCACATTTAAAAGTAGTTGGTTGATTCAATGCTGTACATACGCATTTTCACACGGACTCCCATTTACAGTCATGTTCTTGGGGAAATGACAAGATAAATAGCAAGTATTGCCTTGTTTTAAGATAGTAACAATGTTTAAAAGCAATTATGATACTAGTATATTGCGTCTGTTTCAGGCCCCCATGCAGGATCATCCAGGCAATAATGCTGATTCTTGAATAAAAATGGAAATGATTACTGTACTGTCTTGTTATACCTCTTCTCATTTATAATGATATTTCAGTCTGCAACTGACGTAATATGACCACATGACACTTGTAACACTTTGTAACAACCTTTCAGAGCTACTTCTTACCTTCTTTCACCCGATTTAAGGGCCAGGATGTATTTATGAATAACAGAAGTTGCTATAATTATCCCTACAAAAAAGTGTCATGCATTCGCGTTCTTCAAACTATTAAATGACCATCAAAGACTTAATTGACTCAGTCGATATCGGCGATCACTTTGAATATTTACGATGACCGGCTCAAGTTGAGTTAAGAAAAGCATTCGTTTCCTACATACGTTGGTTGACCTACTGGTAGGGCGCCGCGACTAGCTGCATGGACATGGGTGTGGAGTCGAACCCTGCTGTCATCAGCACCACACCCATTTTAAGAAAGTGATAAACCACGAACTCTGTTACCTATTTTCATAGTCAAGTTGACACTATATGAACAAAATGAACTATTTTATATATTTAAACGGCGTACACCTCGTAAAGGCCATTAACTCATTTACTTAACAAGAAAACATCGCATTCCTGACACTTGCCGGTGAGGAGACATCGGTGGCCATTAGTTAGTACAGAGTTGCGTCCCTTTGTTATCCAGATGGCAGTCTGTGGCAAGTTCTGGTAATGATATTGTGTCTGTCCGCAACATTCTCGCTCTGGCTTTAACAAACGTTCTAAAGGTCTGCGACTTGCGTTGTACTTGTCACGCCATTGTATACCTGAATTGTGTTTATGGATCACAGGGGGCACGAGTGGCCCTGTCGTCTAAGGTGCCGCGATTCGCTGTGCAGAGTTGCGTCCCCTGGACACGCTACAAACCTATGATTGTTGCTTTGAATCCCGGTTCGCCCCGATTATGTTTCTAGATTTGTCAGCACCGTACCCGTGCTCATGGGTTTCACTGAAGTGGTAAACGACAGAGACCTGCATTACTTCGGGCTTTCCTCCCACATTAAGCTGACACGCCGAGATATAACTGGAATACTGTTGAAAGCGGCGTTAAACCCAACTCACTCGCTTAATTAATGGATCACAAATGAGCGAACTGTGCACGATTATTGACGATTTTGTCTACATTATAGCGGAAATTTGATGTTTACTGTCAGCATTAAAAGATGCGAACAAATGTTCAGAAAAAGGCGAGCATGCAACCTCCTATTAAAGCTAGGTCCATTTGTAGGGACCTACAACATACGAAGAGTGTAATCCTTTAATAAAAAAATAGCAGTCATGACCTGAAGACATTGAAATGATTTAGTTTTCAACATATACTAGGTAGGTAGGTAGAAAGGAAGGTATCACAAACATATTAACAAACACATCCACACACACAAACTGACCCACAAACATTTGCACACAGCTTTCAGCAGAACACAGCTCTTTTGTTAGGCAGTACAACCAGTGCTGATGTTTACACGCACCTGAAGCATTAAGGTCACTTCCTACATCACGTGTTGGTTCCCAATGCAGTGGCCAATCCTGTGTCCGATACTTAAAATTGGGCCCAATTCAAAGATCGATTCAAAATAAAAACGTATCAGTCGTATCAGAACATTGTACGTTATAATTATATCGCATGAATTATAAACCTGTAAGCTGAGTGCTTTTGGATTCACTACCGTCAATCTGGAGGAAATTGAGACTTGTGTTATAGATTTGTTTTCGTTGTGTTTCTCAGTGACCAACCAACACAATGTCTAGCGCAGTGACATCTTAACCAATTAAGCCAATAAGAACTAAAGGAATCATTGAGGCTATTTCCTATAGCAAGGGTTATTCTGATTGAGAAGTTTATATATACTGAACCGAAAAAGAAACGTCACCATGGAAAGATATATGAGAAACCTAATTTGTCCAAACATTGTAAACATACTTTGAGACATATTAAAAAGATGAAACTTGGCAAAACTGATCACCAAGGTGGAAATTAAAGTGACAATTGTTCTTATAGTGAAACACAACATTAGTCTCTGAGAAAATGGCATCACAAGTCAGTATCTCTTGTGTCCGCCATGTGCATTGATGATTGCCGTGCAACGTAGATACATGGAACGGATGAGGTGGTTGATGAAGGCCATAGGCACTTGAGCCCATTGCGTGTGGTCTCAAGACTTGATCATTGTACCGAGCTGCTGTGACACCATTGCCTCTCCCTGGACCGATGTTCTGGAAGACCACAGGGCCGTCCCCTTGTGCAAGACCAATTCCAATGACGTGGCGCCAATGCTGGTGCTGTGTTGCCCAGTGAAGAAGGTCCCGGCGATAACGTGGTGTCAGAATGGGTCCTCGGTGTGGCCTGTGACAATGGAGGTGTCTGCTCGTCAATCGTCGACGCACGGTGTCCCAACTAATGTGTCGCTGGTGTGTCCCCATGGTCTGTCGAGCAGTTTCAACAGCAGTAACAAAGCGATCTTGAAGATGTTGTCGCACAATCTGACGATCCTGACGTCGGGTGGTGACCCTTGGTCTTCCATTCCGTGGTCGGTCATCTGTAGTGTTGGTGGTCTGGTACCGTTGGACCCGTGAAGATTCCGGGGTAGAGTAGGTCTTCAGCAACCCATACTTGCCGTAAAAGGCGACTAACGGGATCGGGTGGTCAGGCTCGCTGACTTGGTTGATACATGTCATCGATCCCAATTGCGTGGATCGATGCTCGTGATGTCAATCACTGGATTGTCTGGTCCAAACTCGATTATTTTACAGACCACCGTCATATAGCTGGAATATTGCTAAGTGCGGCGTTAAACAACAAACAAACAAACAAGCAAAATCTGGTACCGTTGCTGGAACCTGCATATGGTCCTTACGTGGGCTTGAAATGCATTGGCTACTTGCCGGGCGGTTTGTCCAGCTTGGAATCGTCCAAGGGCGTGGTGTCGCTGATTTCTTGACAATCTTGGCATGTGGTAGCAAATCAATAACGAACGAATGTTATCCGATCTGGGTGGAATTTTATAGGGCAAGAAATGGGGGAACGCATGTGCATTCAATTTGCACGGAACTCACGTGCATCGGGTTACCATGGCCGTTGCCATGATGCGTTTGGGCGATCGGTTTTATTGTCATCTGCTTTGTTTTTTTATCATCAATTTTCATTTTTCTGGACAAGGTAATGTTAAATTTTAGAATCTTTGACAAAAATTACCCAGATATTTAAATGACATTTTTTCTTGCAAATGTTACTAACGACAAAAAAATAATTACTTGAATGAAGCTATCGTTGAAGTTTACAAATTACAATACCTTGACATCTGAACGTAACATCTTATCCCAATGACATTTCAAATGACCAGTGCATGCACGTGCACACAGGAGACAAAGGGTGTGCGCCTATAGGGGAGCTCACAATCACAAATGCAGTTGATCTAAGCACACGCTTAAAAAAGCCTCTGACATAGTATCTCATTAAACGGCATAATGGCGAATTGTTGGTACGATAGATGAGGGGGCATCAATATCCAAAGTTGCCCGAATGTTTGGCAAATCAAAAAGTTTAATTTCTCGACTGAGACTGACAAGAACCGTCAAACAGATGGGCTTGCAATCACACCTGGGCACTAAGACAAGATCGTCTCATTACATTAATTGCACCATGCAATAGATTCAAATCTGCTCCTGTTGTCAATAGTGAAAACCGAACAATAACAAAAAGTCGAATTTCAACATATTGCGTTAAAAGGTGGATGTGTACAGACCGTGTCCTGTCGTTGCACGATTCATTAAGAGTATCGGCAGAATTTGTTAACTGCACGATAACAATGTCAGGCCACATCGTGCCCAGGTCGTCACTGATTATCTCGAGAAGCCATACGAACGTTGACCTGAACCACTAAGTCCCCTGACATATCTCCAATAGAGCATCTGTGAGACCCAGCACCCACCAACGTGGGCCAACGTGGGGTAGCTCTTCAGGCGGAATTGCGGGCAGTACCAAGGGCAATCATGCGCAAGTTAATCAACAGTATGCCATCAAGATGTTGTGCATGGTGGACACGCCAGACATTGATCTATACGCCAGAAATGTATTTCAAAGACATTTATCGACATTATACCTTCACCATCATTTCATTACTTCCCGTATTTTTGTGTCGGTCGTATTTTTTAGCTGGGGAAAAAATAGCTACTTACAGTAAACAGTATGTCTGTAACAGTGCCAAATCGTGATGCCTTATCTCTCTCTCGTTATGCTGTCTTTGGGACGACTAAACATAGGACTAGAACCATGTAATCTCAGCCCCAGAAACATGATCAATCACGTGACACATGTAAATGTATAAGTACCACGAGCCCTTCAGATGAGTTTCCAACTATCTCATCCACTATGAAGGCTGTGTGTCTACTTCTCCTCGTCTCTGTCCTGCTCGTCGGAGCAGCCTTTGTCGGTGAGTCTTGACATCTCCATAAGTTCAAATTGGTTAGTTAGATATTTTGTTTGTTTGTTGTTAAATGCCGCGCTCAGCACTATTCCAGCTATAAGACGGCAGTCTGGAAATAATCGAGTCTGGATCAGACAGTCCAGTGATTAACATCATGAGCATCAAACTACGCAATTGGGATGCGATGACATGCATCAACCAAGTCAACGAGCCTGACCACCCGATCCCGCTAGTCTTCCCTTAGAACAAGCATAGTCGCCTCTTACGGCAAGCATGGGTTGCTGAAGACCTACTCTAACCCGGATCTTCACGGGGCTGGGGCTAGCTAGAGGATGTGTTGGCAAGAGATCGGTAATGAAAGAGACTGGCGTGGGAAGAGACAGAGTTGATAAGGCTCTGGTTTGGTAAGGGGCCTGGTTGGTATGGGGCCGGATTGGTATTAGGGCTGAGTTTGTGTGGGTCAGGCGGTCATGTACGATAGGGTGAGGACTGATACAAACCCATCTGAATGACAATAAATCCAATATTCAACAATATCTAGTTATAATGAATGCCAAAAGACCCGATAACCTCAACTTGCTTTA